AAAAGATGTTTGGTAATTTTTGAACGAATGACGTAAATGTGTTGACATTGTATTTGACAAATAAATTCTTTCTAACCCTCCTACATCCACCCACCCAGTAAAACCTATCATATAAATGTATCATTTTAAATCAATAATTTAACAATTTTTTTTTTGTTTGAACAAATTCTGTTTATAAAAAAAAATTACAGAATATTCTATCGGATGTACCTTTTTGTTGTTGCTATTTTCAAATAGGAAAATCCACCCACATACACACACAGACACACACTCAATGTTTGAATCGATCATAATGATGATTTGAAATTACCAGATGTTTTATTATACTGGAATTTCCATTTCCATTCATTTTTTGTTGTTGTTCCAGAGATACTATTGGTCATTTTTTTTGGATCTATTTTTAGTAACATTTTTTTTCTTTCTAATTTATAAATATTTATATGGCATTTATTTTTCTTATTATAGATGTAGTTTTTTTTTGGTTGTTTTGGTTATGAAATTATAATAATAAAAAACCAGAATAATCAAGAGAAAGTATACCGAACAAGACGACAGCCAGACAGAATGAGAAAGATAAATGAATAATAACGATGATTATGATGATTATGATGACAAACATTCATTGAACATCATCAGCATTTGTAAATTGTAAATTTTTACAATTTTTCCTTTATTTTCATTTTCCTGTTTACTTTCATATCAATGAAATCAAATGGAAATACCAGCAGAAAGATAGGAAAAAACGGAAATTTTTTTTTATTGTTTCAGCATGAAAATATCAATAAATTTTTTTCATTTTCATTTTCTTGGATCAAATTTCTTGATTTTTTTTTGTTGTTTTTTTCATGTTTGCCGACAATCATCAATTCATTCGCACGCATCAACATCAACTTATCATCAACTGATCAACATCATTATCAATTCTGAATTTCGTTTCCTTATTGATGAAATAAATAAAAAAAAAAGTTTTTTTTTGATCACAATTTTCCGAACGAACAAAAGTATGTGTAGGTGTTAAATTCGGGGGCAGAAGAAATTGTAAAATCAAATTTTCAAGATTGAAAAAAAGATTTTTTTTTTGTTGTTGTTAAAAAAACTTGAAAAGAATTTTGCTTGAAGCCAACAACATTGATTCCCAAATTCTTTACTTGACTTGACTGTTCAACCGACCAAAAAAAAAAAATCCAAAAGTGTAGGTGTTCTATTATGTGGTGTAGGTGTTTACTTTACTTTATTTTTGTTTTTCCTGCCGCCTTCATTTTCAATCAAATCGGGTTGCTATTTGAAAAAGAATCAAGGAAAATTGATTGAAAATTCGGGAAACTTTCCGAAAAAAATAAAGGGAAATTTTTGTTTTCCAAAGAATTATCTTAACATTATCATCAATGAACGAACGAAAAAACAAAGTCCAAAATACCTCGACAATGGCATTATCAACAACCATTTTTCAAAAAAAAACAAAACAAAACAAAATGCATCAATATGGCAAAACAAACAAACAAACAAACACGAAAAAACTTTAAAAATAAATCACTAAATTTAGTTTTTTTAAAAAAAAACAAACATTTTTTTAATGTATGTTCCAGGAAAAATGGAAAATATCATAGAATTTCATTTAGAGAGAATTCAAAAGAAGAAAAAAAATGAAAAATGCAACCATCCACCTACACAGGACCAAAGAGAATTTTGTTTGGTTTTTTGTTTTGTTTTGTTTGGTTTGTTTTGTTTGGACTAAAACAAAACAAAAAAATTTAGTTCATCATCAAGGCCAAATCGAACCAAACTGAACTGGATTTAATACCATTCACGAATCACTAAACACATCCTATCATATGGACCATTGATTGAACAACGATGAAAATGTCATTTTTTTCAAAAGGCCAATTAATTGTTTTTGTTGAAAAATGTTCTTTTTGTTGTTTCTGGCCACCAAAAAACCATATGGTAATTGAATTAAAATTTAGACAAATTTTTTTGAAAAAGGAAATGCTGTTTGAATGACATTTTCAACGAGAAAATCGAAAAAATGAACTAAATAAACAGATGATGATGGATCCAAACTAATCAACAACAAAAAAAACTTTGTTAAAAAAAAGTCAAACACCTTTAGGGTTCTATAATTTTGTATTTTTGGTTTGTTCGATAAAAATTTCGATTGAAATTTGATTGAATTTGAATTTGAATTTGCTTTTTTGTTTTTTGTTTTGTTTCTTTGATTATATTCGATTGAAATTTAATTTCAAAAAAATTTTTGAAAATTCATTTCAGTTTTTCAAATTAAATTATGTGATTTGTTTGTGTAGAAAAACAAAAGTTGAACAAAAAGCAATCTCCAAAAGTCATTAGATTCGAATTGGAAAATTTTGTTTTGTTTTTTCGGGTAAAGAAAGAAAGAAAGAGAAAGAGAAAACATGTGTCTAGCTCCTGCAAGAGAAGAATCAAATGGAACATTTATTAAACGTAAAGTTGAATCATATTTTGTACGAAGACCAAAAAAATGGTTAGATTCAAAAATTAAAAAAGTTGATCAACAAATAGCTGAACCTATTCGTGAATTGGATGTAAAAGTTTATGCTGAATTACATATGAAACGATGATTGAAAATACAAAAAAACAAAAACAAAAACCATCAAATCAATAATCAAACGAATCGATTCAGGATGGGGGATGCAAAACTACTACTGCTACTTGCGTTCCTACATCATAAACAAACAAAACAGATCGACACTTACCACTTTCCAGCAAAAAAATCACTGATAAGAAAAAGAAGATTGGAAAAAATTACTTGATTTACCGAATATATAAACACACTTCCGTAACACACACACACACATTTTGCGCATATGTAATGATGATGATGATGATTATTCAGGAACCGATTACAAACAGATTTGGGTGAATGAAAGACAAACAACAAAACATAGATAATGTGGGGGGAAGTATGACATATTATGACTTTTTGGGGGGGAAGAAAAATTACTTGAAACATTCAACAAACAAACACATAGACAATAACGACGACGACGAACAAAAATGGTAAAGGTGATGAACGAAATCAATTTTTTTAATTTATTCAATTTTTGAAAATTTTTTACTTCGTCGTTTTTATTATTACAAAATGAATATATAATCTTTTGCCATTTACACGCACCATTATTATTATTATTATTTTTTGATCTTTGATTGTTGAAAGATCATCATCATCATCATCAAAACATCAACAGCAAGATGAAACGTTAAGCCAAAAAATGACTTATTATTATTATCATTGAATTAAATTGTTGTTGTTGTTTTTCTGGATTTTCAAATTTAATGAAAATTTGCCTGAGATAAACGGCTACATGATGTTATGATGATGATGATGATAAAGTAAAAACTTTCACTTTGTTCAACACATAATGATAATTACTAAATAGAAAATTTGCAATTAGAATTTCAATGATTTTTTTTTTCATTTTCATTTTAAGAAATATATTTGCCTGATTGAAGAAGGATAACATTGTTTTGTTTTTTTTTTATTCGTTTTGAAAAAATGAAAGAAAGAAAGAACCGAACAACATTGATTCAATCAAATGGCCTTGATTTTTCTGTTTTGTTTGATTTGATTTAAACAACGACGATGGTTGATGATGATGATGATAATGAATAAGATGAATTTAACCACCATATATTTAACACAGAAAAAAAACTATGCAAAACACGCACACACACACACACAACATATAGCTGATTTTTGTCCAATCAAGGATTTGGCGATCAGATCAGGTAAAAATCAATGTAACGGATTGTAATCAATTAAAAAAAATCAATATCAACACCCACCCACCGACCAAAAAATATAAGTGAATTTGGTTGGCTTTGTTTTTTTTAAAACAAAGTCGATCAATTTGTTTAGTTTGTTCGTTTCGCGTATCCAAAAATGGATTGATTTAAAATGGTGGTGATGATGGTGGTGGTTCGAATAGAATCGATGATGATGATTGAAGGCAAACGCGCGTACATTTGGTTTTTCGTTGTTGATGATGATTAAGAAGAAAAGAAACAACTCGTTTTTGTCGACGTAAAACAGCAAGCATGGCCAAGACAAATTAATGAAGAAAAAGGGAAAAAAAACATTTACGCGCCAAATCAAATGAGAGAGAGAGACAAAAAACAACAAAAATTAGACCGGAAGAATTTTGATTGAATCGAATAGAAGAAAGAAAATCCAAATATTGTTGAATGTCATCGACACACACATAGACAATGCTTGTTAAGAAAAAATCGTCAAATGAATATCGGCGTCCAAATCAAGTGTTAAAGTGAACAAAACCCAAAAAACTACTAAACAAAAGCAAGCAACCAGCCAACCAACCGAAAAAAAGGGCGACAAAATATGTGATGATGATCGAATGACCAGATGATGATAATGATGGAAAATTTAAAAAAAAAAAACTTTTAAATCAATGCAGATATTTAATTTCGAGTGTTTTTTTTTCAGAAAAAATATTTTCGAGATTTTCTTTTTTGCATACAAAAAAAAGACACTTGAAACTTTTTTATTTAAATCAACAACCGCGAATGGGAAGAAAAAATTCAATAAAGATCTCAATGAGAGAATGAGAAAAATCTTCTTCACAGTGTTAAGGACTGTGTGACCAGTATTTTGCTTTTGCTTGAATGTAGCATCGATTGCCAATTGATGATTCAATTTAGTTTTTTTTTGTTTCCCTGTTGCTATTGTCAATCTTATTACAAAGATAAATGGATGGATGGATGGATAGACACACAAATCATACAGGTGTGAAATATGTGTGTGTGTGTGCGTCAGCCGTCAGGTAGAAATCATCATCCATATCCCCCTACACATACCTGAATGAAATCATCGAAACGTGATCGATCGATCGATCGATCGATCGATTGATTGATTGATTGATTTTGTTGTTGTTGATTTTATTAATCATCGATTCGATTAATTAATTCATCAATTTTTTTTTAAGAAAATCATTACAAAAATGGAAATTTTACAAAAGAATTTTATTATTCATTTATAATTGCATTGTTTCAAATTGACAATCATCATCATTATTTTGTTGTTTTTCAGTATATTTTATCATAACCGAACGTAAAAATTTTGCTCTTTTCATTGTTTTCATATGAATATTTTTAAGTAAATTTTCATCGATCGTACAGGAACCGGTAGCTTCTAATAAATAAATACAATCACTATCTGAAGGTTGATCTGGATCGATTGCCATACGTATAATAGAATTGGATAATTCTTCTTCATTCATTGTTGGATCGATAAGTAAATGTCTGTGGGTAAATTAGAAAATTATCAATAAATTATGGTTTCATAATAAATGTAAAAAATATACTTACTTATCAATGATGACGAATGTACAAAGCATTGGATATGTTCGTATATTAATTTTTTCAAATTCATTTGTCATTGTTATTAAATCAAATTCATTATCGATTTCATATTTACGAAGGTTACATTGTTTCAGTGCAACTAATGAAGCCAATAATGATAGATCAACAATTGAACCATCCATATTTAAACAAATAATTTCTAACATTATTTTCCAACAATATTTACGTGGTATAAGACATAATTGTTTAAGATTAATACATTTTGAATGCGATAAAATTTTTCGTACACATTCACGAACATAACCACTGATTGTTGTACGATCAGGATTTTCTAATTCATTTGAACCAGTATTCGAAAATCGTACATCGATTTCAATAATACCTTCATCTGGTTTGATTGTTGTTGGTTTTACTAATGACTAATTTTAAATAGAAATGGATGATAATGAACAAAAACAAAAACAATGAATCGTTATGTACCGTTGTAATGCCACAAATAACCGATGATGTACCGAATTTAATTAATGCTGAACCATTAGCACTTGTAACACAATCACAACTGATTAATACATGACGAGATTCATCAAATTTTCTACCATCAGCTCTTTTGCCAGAATTCTATATATCAAAATCAAATTCAAAATCAATTCAGATTGAAAAAACGAATGAAGAAAATAAAATCTACATACCAAAATGGTCTGTATAAATTGTAATGGTTGTAAAATTCTGTAACAAATATTCAAAAGTATTAAAATTACTAATTTAATTATAAAGAATTTCAAAAATAGCAAAAAACAAACTTGAATAATTCAGCCATCATTTATTATCATCAGATTTTCTGGATCACCAAAAAAAAAAATTCCAAAACACGTGGATTTTGATTGATTATTTTCGATTGGTTTCAAAATCGAATCCTAGATGTCGTTACACATTTGTTTTTTTAACCGTAAATTGAAAATAAACTCAAATAAACAGTTTTTTTTTGTCACCAAATTATTGATTAGGTCATGAATGAATCGAAGAAAAGAAGGAAAGATTAATAATTCATTTCCAAATTGGAAAAAAATCAAAGAATTTGGTAAATATTGTTTGATTTTTTTGTTTGTTTGTTTGTTTGTTTGTTAAATAATTTTATTTTTATTTTGTTCAAGAAATAGAAAAGGTTTTTTTGTTTTTCGAAAAAAAAACAAACATCAACAATAAGCCTCCGGGATACCGTTGTGTTAAATAACAACAACAACAACATTCAAGTCAAACAAACTTAATGTGTGATAAATGAATGAAGAGAAAACATTGAAATTCCATTGAAATTGAGGGAAAAAAATCAAATATTTTTAAAAGAGAGAGATTTTTTTTTAAAACAAAACAAAAAAAAATGGGCAACAAACAAAGTGTTAAATCACATTTAGAAAATAGTCAACGTACCGGTGTATTTCAATTGACCAAGGCAAAATTAAATGAAATACCATCGGATGTATTTCGTGTAACAACATTACGAACAATTGATTTATCAACAAATCATTTGAAAACAATTCCAACAAATATTGCTAATTTTATCAATTTACGAACATTGATACTGGATGAAAACCTATTGACCCAATTACCTGAAGAGATATGTCGTTTAACAAAACTGGAAACATTATCGTTGGCTAGTAATCAATTGCAAACATTGCCAAAAATGCTTGGCGATTTGAGGTCATTAAGAAGTCTGAATTTATCTAATAATCGATTGCAAAAATTTCCCATTGAATTACGAACGATAAGACAACTAGATTTTATTGATTTATCTAAAAATAAAATAACCGAAATACCGGATGGTATTGGTGATATGCAAGCACATGAAATTAATTTAAATCAAAATCAATTAGAAAAAATATCTGATGATCTTTCACAATGTCCACGTTTAAAAGTGTTACGTTTAGAAGAAAATTGTTTACGTTTGGATGAAATAACACGTTCAATATTAAGTGAATCACAAATATCATTATTGGCTGTTGATGGTAATCTATTCGATATTAAACAATTACGTGATCATCCTGCATATGATCAATATATGGAACGTTATACGGCGACTAAGAAAAAAATCTAAAAAAACCATATTTAATTTTAACCCATCTCAACCTTATCCTTTCGAAAAAAAATTTGACCACCACTAATCATGATAAACAATCAAATTAAATTAAATTATTTCAATCAAAAATTGGCATTAAATTTTCTTTTTGTTTTTATTCGATTCGATATTATTATTTTAGACATTTTTTTCAAATATTTTCGGGGCAAATAATAATGAGAAGGGAAAAAAGGGTTAAACAGTCAAATGATGATGATGATGATAATGCGATGGTATTGTTAGAATATAGAAAAAAAATTACAAATTATGATTATCTGCAGATTAATCAAATGATGTGTTTCAAATCAACAAAGATTTCAAATTAATCGCAATGTTTTTGATATAATGATGGTTATTAATTATAAAATTACCATATGATTGTTGTTGTTGCTGTAAAGGCAGCATTATCATCATTATCATTTTGGCTGTTTACACGGATTTATTTTTCTTCTTCTGTTGTTAATGTGATGTTAGTTTTAAAAGATTTTTATTTTTAAAAATTGTATTTTTAATTTATAATTTGTTCTTATGTGTGTGTGTGTGTTTGTGTGCTTGAAGGTGTTTTTATGATGGTAAAACAATGATATTTGTTAATATTGATTAATTAATCAACACATAGATTTTTTATGATTTGGATTGTGTGTTTGCGTGTATATTTTTTTGGCAAACTTGTTGCCGTCTATGTGGTGTTTGTGTGTGTGTTACATGAATTGTTTTTTATTATTTGATGGACGATGTTATTTTTTTTTCTTTCAATCAGGCAATCTTTATTATTTTAAGGTTTGTTGATAGTTTGAAGTTTTTTTTTAAAAACCATGAACTTTCAATTGTTCCGATTTAGCAATACCAATTTTAGTCAAAAATTCAACAATATTGTTACGTTGATCGCCTTGTAATTGGATTACTTCACCATATTCTGGATGATCGACAACTGTGCCGTTACAGGCAAATTCCTATTTATGGAAAAATGAAAAATGTTTAATAATTTTTCAATATCATTTAATCACATCATACCTTTTTACATGCTTTAACAATTTTCTTTTTATCGAAATTGTCAGCAATACCTTGTACGGTAGTTAATGTTTTACGGCCACTTCGTTGTTGAATCCGTATATGGATTAGACCGTCTTGAGTACCAGTATCATCACCTCTAAACGCATCAGCGAATGGATCTAATCAATTTAATCAATCAAAAATAAATATGAAATAAGTATGATAAGTATTAAAAAAAAAATCTGGATACATACCGAAATTTCGGAGGTTAAGAGGATTTTGAATATTAGTTGTAGAAGACATACAGTAAACTTTAATTAGACGAATTTGTATGAATTATAAAAAAAAAATTCTTTTTTTTAAAAAAAGCTTTTTTAATATCGTTGAATGGTTCTTTTATAATGAAAAAATTTAGAAAACAAACGAAAATTTGATTCGATTTGAATTAATTTACAACGTAACAAAAAGTTTTTTTTATATGAGTCCAAGACCGTCGTGTGTGTGTGCAATTCGATATGAAAGAAAAGCAGAGGGGGGATATACGCACACAGAGTCATTCGAATTTCGAACAAACGACGGAAAAGAAAAAAGAAAAAAGAAATCAACATTAATCATTGCTACTACTACCATTATGAGATATCATCGAACTTTGAAAGTGGTAGTAGTAGTTGTTTGTAGTAGAAGTATGTATCGATGATAAGATTGGCCGAATTGAAATTAAGAAATTAAAAGAGGAGGAGGAGAAGGAATGGTAAAAGTAAGGGGCGGGGCAGGCGAAAAAAAAAGCCATCCGGTTTTTTAACGACGCCATAATTTTGCCACGAAACAAAAAAAAAATTTTTTATGATGATAATAAAAACGCATGCTCTATTCGAAATTATCAATTTAACCATGACAACAATTTACAACAACAACAAGTTATCATCTCTCTTTTCTTCAACAACGCCATCTACGCCGAATGAAATACCAATGTTAGCGATGGATGATTCATTCATTGTCGTTGGATAACATCAATGATATCATGATCAAATTGACAATGAACAAATGAAATGATGTAATTTACGAAAGAAAAATCCTTCTTCCTCATACAAAACAATTGAATGGTTTAAAAAAATACGTCGATCATCATCGTCATTTGACGTAAAGATTTTCTTCCTGGATATTTATTTGTCTGAATGAATGAATGAATGGATGATCAAAATAAACGAACGAACAATGAAATGATGCGACTATGGTGTGTGACCATCAAATCAAGGGTTCAAAAGTTTAATTTCATTTTTTTGGAAATTTTTTGTTTTTCTTCTTCGAAAATGAAAGTCCAAGTTTTCAAAGTTTTATTACGTTTTTTGTTTTGTTTTGAAAATTGGTTACAGTCGAAATAAATTGATTCTAATCACAGCTATTTATTATTATTATTTTGGGAGAAAAAAAAAGATTCAATAATAAAAAGGGTGATGAATGGTGGTTGGGAAAGAAAATTCCGTTTTGTTGGTCACCGGATTTATTTTTGTTTCAAAAAAATTTTGTTTCAATTATAGTTCTGATGTTGGTGGTGGCACTTCGGTAAATATTCGTATTCCATGCATATCACGAATTTCATTTTTTAAAATCTATTTGTAGAAATTATCGATGAAAAAATAAGAATTTTGATTAAAAAAAGAAACTTACATTTGAAACGGTTAAATGTTGTTTAACTTTTGTCATTCCTTGAAAATCCATAGTGGCAATATAAACTTCAAACATTGAACCACAACCACCACTTATATCTTTAACAATAATTTCTTTTGCATTTGGAAATGATTTATTTAATAATTCATTGATTCTTTGTTGAAGTTCAACACTCATTGATGATGTGGATGATGATGATTGTGAAACTAATCGTAATTGAATTGAATTAAATGGTAATATCATTGAAGATGATGATGGTCGTATGAATTGATTAAACAATAATGATGTCTGATTTAAAATTAAATAAACTTTAAAATTAAAAATTAAAAATCAAATAAAAGCAAACTTACTTTTGAATTAAATAATCGATTTAACATTTTTTTAAAATTAATAAATTATTTTTAAAAGAAAAATTTATTTAAAAATTAAGGTGAATTTTTGAAGAATTTTTTACATTCGAATCACATGTGTCCAACCGTATCCATAAACGACATGACAGAATTCGCAAATTCGAATCTTTTTTTGTTTTCCTGTTTGTTTTGTTTGTTTGAAAAAAAAATGAATTGGCGCCAGAATCAAGAGAAAAAAAATAAGACTCAATTCTTTTTTTGGGATGTTTTCCTTTTTCAATCATCTTATCAAAGCAATAAATATATAGTTTTTGATTCTATCGATCTATAGATTCTTGTTTACCACTACTACCAAAGGAACAACAATTATACCTATAGGTCCGTTGAAAAAAAAACATTCTGTTTATCGATCGTTATTTTATTCATGTTTGTAATGTTTTTGTGAAGTTATAACGGACAATAAGGTATGTTGTTTGTTTGTTTGTGCATAGATATATAACACAGCCATTATAATTGAAATGATGTTAAAGATGAAGATGATGATGATGGTAAGTTATATTTTTTTCCAAAATGATGCGGCCAAAAGTTTTCATTTGTTTGTGTTTCAATATATTATTTGGGTTTGAATGAGAATGTCTGTTTAGTAGTTTAATGATTCAAGAATATTCTTACCAAGTTATAATTCTATATAAAAAGCTGTATTCATTCTCTCTCTTTCTATGGATAATTTGGCCAATATAATGAATTCAAGAATGAATCATAATAGAAAAGAATTTCAAGTTTGCTTTTTCTGGTATGATGGTGACTTTTATCATATAGCATCTTCAACATCTTCTTTCTTTCTATTTCAGCATCCAATATAATTTATAGTTTGAAATGCCTGTGCGGTCGTTGATGTTCGGTCGATGATAGAATTTGACTTCCACCACAAACAACAATGCAATGCAGCCAACCAAAATTCTATAGTTCCAGATGCGCTTGAACGAACGATGTTTCTTTCAATTCTCTTTTCGCTGTTTCATTATAAGAATTTTGTTTGACAATTGTATTACACACACACACACACACACACACACACACAGTCAAAAGAAACATCAAAGTCATTTTCTTTTTAATGATAATGATGATTATCGTTTCAGTTTCCTTTTTTCTCTCTGTGTTTGGGTTCCATTTTGTATAATGTAAATGAGCTCAGAATCAATTCTTATTTGCCATAAACAAGAAAAAGAAGCCAGTAGCGCAAAAATAAACAAATTTGTTTAGTTATCATTATAATCATCAGATGAAGATTTTTATCTATACACATTTAAACAGTTTGGTTTCATCAAACAATAATAATAACGAAATAAATAGAAATATAATAACAACAAGAAATATTTACAGGCAACAATCGATCAATCAAATTGAATCAAATATTGATCCCCAGCAACAACATCATCATTTATCACAACAACAACAACATCGAGATTCGTCGTCATCCGAACATCATTTACAACAACAACAACATCAACGTGAAGAAAGATCTGGATCACGTTCGTGGACAATCAAACGACCAACAATGGGTGACATTCGACGACTTTCTCCACCTGGACTTAAAGATGTAATTTTTTTTTTTTGATTTTTGATTTTTTCTTGAATGATACCTGATTGAAATTTGTTTTTTGTACAGGAATTACCACCGAACGATGATGAACAGAAAAATTGGAAAGGTATCCTAATATCATTGTTGGTTATATCGACAATCTGTTCATTCATATTTCTTTCGATTGTATTGATGACACCACGTAAGAATCTGATTTTTTAAGAAATTCCTTTTCAACGAATTTGATTTGATTTCATTTTCTTTCTATTTTTTCTAAACAGATATGGATTTTTCCAATAAAAAAGAACCATTAAAAATTGAAGATTTTATACTTGAAGGTTATGAATCAAGAAATTTTAATGGTTCATGGATATCATCAAAAGAAATTCTTTATAAAGAATTAAATGGTTCAATTTGTATTTATAATATTGAAACAAAACATAAAGAAATGATATTAGATGGTGCATTAACGGTAAGAAGAGGATTTTTTTCATTTTGATTGTAATTAATTTTTTAAATTTAATTTTTTTTTTTTTGAAAATCAAGCATCAATATGAAGTACAACGTTTTATGATATCACATGATCATCGTTATTTATTATTAGGTCATGATTTTAAACGTACTGGTTCATATACAATACTTGGTCGTTTTACCGTATATGATACAAAATTACATACATTTACACCATTACGTTTAAATCAACAACAAATTGAAATTGATATGCATCAATATGCTAATTGGATACCGGATCATTCATTAATTTTATTGATTAATCGTAATAATATTTATCTATTAACACCGTTAGGCGTTATACAACATATACTTACGGAAAATGGTAAAGATGAAATAATTTATAATGGTATACCGGATATATTATATGAAGAACATATATGGAATATTGATAATGGTATTTGGCTTAAATCATATATTGGTGGTTGGATGATGATCTATTCAACTATTGATAATACACAAGTTGAACAAGTACCATATATTATTTATGGTAAATCATCATCAAAAAATGAAACACAATCATATCAATCGATTTATGCCGATAAATCACCTGGTTATGTTATGTATCCAAAACTTTATTCATATCCATATTCAAAACCGGGTAAAAATATACCACGTATTTCATTAAGTGTTACCAAATTGAATGAACGAAATCAAATTGTATATAAAAATCAACCGGTTACACCACCATTTGATCGTCATGAATCAGATTTTAATGATCATTATCTATCAACTGGTCCTGTTTGGATATCACCATATGAATTTATTGGAATATGGACTAGACGTACACAAGAACATGCTATTATTGGTAAATGTCGTGAACAAACAGCCGAATGGCAATGTGAAAAATTAAGTGAAGAAAAACAATTACGACCAGTCGGTTCATTAGTTTTACAATCACGTCCAATTATATCGACAAGTGGTGATCGATTATTTTTAATATTACCAGTTAGTGATGGTTTGGCTGGAATGTATGATCATATTGCACAGATTACGTTTGATGGAAAAAAACAATTCTTAACACATGGTCAATATGTTGTTACATCAATTTTTGCCTATCGTGAAGATCTTAAAACATTATATTATTCGGCAAATATTGTTGATGAACCGGGTATTCGTCATATTTATTCACTAAGACATCATAATAATTCAAATGAACAACATTTTGTCAATTGTATATCATGTAAAGTGAATGCAACTTGTCTTTATAATAATGCACAATTTAGTCCGGATGGAAAATATTTTATTCTTGAATGTTTAGGACCGGATTATCCAATTTTCTATCTAATGGATACAGAAACAGAAAAAATTATTGAAATTCTTGATACAAATGATCGTTTACGTCGATGGTCGGATAAATTAGCCATACCAAAAGTAAGACAATTTTCAATTAAAACTAGTCGTCCAGGAAATTATTGTATAAGAATTCAATTAATAATACCATTAACGGTAAATGAATTGGATGATGCACGTTATCCATTATTGATCGAAGCAAATCGTATGCCTGGTATACAAAATGTTAATTATTTAAATAAAATTGATTGGTTAAGATATTTATCAAGTCGAAGAGAATATATAACCGCACGAATTGATACACGTGGTAGTGGTTTTCAAGGTGATCGTCATCAATATTCAATTTATAAACGTATCGGTGAATTAGAGATTGAAGATTTAAAAATTGCTTTAACATATCTAAAACAATTACCATATATTGATCATTCAAAAATTGCCATTTGGGGTCAAGAATATGGTGGTTATTTATCAACGGCATTTTTAGCATCGGAAAATTCTGTAGCATGTGCTGTTGCTGTATCACCGATTACAAGTTGGAAAAATTATTGTAAGGATTTTTTTAATGAAAAACATTGTTTGAATTTCTAAAAAAAATTTTCTGTTTCAAAATATTTTAGTGTCAGTATTTGCCGAAAGATTTATGGAAACACCGGAAGAAAATTATCTTGGTTATGAAAAAAGTGAACTAATGCAATTAGCACCATTACTTAAAGGACGAACATTAAATCTTGTTCATGGTACAATGGATCGTAGAGTTAATATACAACATACAATGCAATTTATTAAATCATTAACAATGAATGCTGTACAATATCAAAGTCAGGTAATGAATGAATGAATCTTTAATTTTTCTTTTAAAAATTTCATTTTTTTCCAAAAAATAAATTAGTTTTATCCAGATAGTGGTTCATTAGAAACATGGGATCTATTAATACGTTATCATTTTTATCGTACAATGGAAGATTTTTTTGCCAAATGTTTTCAAGTTGAAGCTGATGATTATGAAGATGATCTAATACCAATAACTAAAGTTATTAAAGGAAGATTTAAACATACATAAGCGGAAAAACAAAAATGAAAATGAAAAGTTCATCATCAAATCATCACCAAAGAAGTGTCTTGATAAAGTGTTTGATGCACTCATTGCCCAATTATATACACACCGTTTTGTTGAATTTTTGCCACCAAGTATGCATTTTTCACCAAATAATGAATAATTCGTGTATTTCATTTTCACTTCGTTCTATTATTCACTTTGTACAGAATCCAATGTTTATCACAAACACACACACACACACACACATCAATCAGTATTATTATAACCCTATTGATATTTATTATTTAATTACTATATAGAGACAGAAAAGTGTGACAAATTTTAAATAAAATCATTCAATTTTTTTTTGAAGGGGGGGATCAATGGAAAAAAAAGAGGGACCAAAGAATTAATTAAATAAAATGATGATGTTGTTGTTGTTTGAGTAATTTGTTTTTAAATCACAATTTTTGAAAAGAAAAAAAAATGAAAAATATTTATGAATTTGTTGGTGGACCTGATGACGTTGATGACGACGACGACGACGACGACGTTGATGTTGATGAAGTTGATGGTGATGATAATGTAGATGGATCACCATCACTCATATTTGGTGTTTCAGTAAACGTCATACAAAATTCACCAATTTTTGTCAATTTACCATGACGACCCATATATAATGTTAATGCACCTTTATGAAATGTTGCATAGCTATTGAGAAAGAAAGAAAGAAAGAAAAGAGAAAAATTGATTGATTTTTTTTTTGGTTGAAAATTTTCGAATAAAATCACTTACCAACGTGTTATATGACATATATCACCTGGTTGAACCGTTGCGCCTAATTCATCATAAAGACACATATTTATACAACCAGTACGATCGGCAAATCTCATTACACGTATTTCATGATTATCTTTGGTTATTAAACGTGAAACTTGTTTTTTAAAAAAAAATAAATAAATTGGTTAGCAAATGAAGAAAAAAAAATCAAATGTTTTTATTACCAATTTCAACTGCAATTGCAATAACATTTAATTTGTTCGATGGTGCTTTAATATCTTTTATTGAATCAATTTTATCGGTCATATTTATCTGATTAATCGAATAGCCCATAATATTTTTTATAGGAAAAAAATATATTTTAATTACAAAAAAAAATTAAATAAAAAAATATAAGTAAATAAATAATTCAAAACGAAAAAAAAATGCTCCAAATTCTGGATTTTTTATAAAAATATAAATGTCCTGTTCATAAACGATAGGATTGATAATTTAAAGAGTCACGTTGTGTTTATATTTTTCCAATTTTTTATTGATGATGATCATTTTTACTTTTTAAATTCAAAACTAATTTTGTTTTGTGCCTTTAATTTTTATTATCATCCATTGTCTTGTTGTAATTCAATCATAAATAGTTGATAAAAAAAACTATCTAAAGTGTAATATTTCCTTTAGTATTTTTTGTGATATTTGATGAAAAAAGGTAAGACATCGACATTAATGATGATTTTTGATTTTAAAATTCTTGTTTTTTAAAAAAAGAATGGCAGATCGATTAACGCAACTTCAAGATGCCGTAAATGTACAAGCAGAAAATCTATGCAACAGTATCGGTTTGTTGCAACAAAGTTCACGACCAACACCGTTTCCAGAATTTGCTACATTTTCTCGTTCTCCAAGTACAGCATATAAACAGGTATTAATCGAAGCTGGAATACCTGTCGAAATTGATGATATTGATAATAATGTTGATCAAAAAGAAAATAATGTAGTTAAAAATGGTCATGATAATTCGAATATTATTAATAAATCTACGGAAAAATCATCAAATAGTGATTTAAAACAAAATGGTGATTCATCTTTAATGATCAATGGTGATGGTAGCATTTTACAACAACCGCAATCATTTCCTGATCCTGGTGAAAATTCAAAATTTTTTGCCAAATTAATAACAAAAACAGCAAAAGATATTGATTTAATTATTGATTCATTACCAAATCGTGAACTTGAATCTGATCTACAAGAAGCACATATAAAAGTATTGGAAATGGAAAATCATGATGAACAAAAAAAATTAGAAACTGTTATCAATCAAGCTGAACAATTATTGGATGTAATCAAAAATGCATTAGAAGATATTGCTCAAAATCAGATGCGAATGAAACAATTAGAAGCACAAATGCTTACATCATCGACAACATCAACAACATCATCCTCGTCATTATTATCATCAACAACGAATAAAAATACCATACAATCATCGACAAGAATCTTACATAACATTCTTGATGATCACCATTCACCTGATTAAATAATGATGATAATCGATCCGGAAATTCTTATTCCAATGGCACCATCAACATAGGATTTTTTTTGATTTTTGATAATGGACATGTACTTTATTTGTCTGAAAAAAGAATTTTCTTTTTATTATTTGAATTCTTATTATTAATAAAAATAATCCGTTTGTATTCTGGGCTGATTTGTTGTGATTGTTGGATAAATAAATAATTTGTAAATTTTCGTTGAATTTTATTTTGAAAATAGACAAGAGGAAAAAAATATAATAATAATAATAATCTGTTTGCTTGCTAAATAACAGCAACATTAACACATAAATATTGCACAAATATTTTTTCGTTTTTTTTGTCTCAATCCGATAAACAATTTTTTTTTTTGTATAATTAAGGGTTGATAATAACAAAGAATATATATTGTGTGTGTGTGTGTGTGTGAATGTAGGTCAATCTTATTTAGAGAGAATGGTGCAATTTCAAATAAATAACGGACAATAATCATTGATTGATTGATTAATCAAAACACCAAAACAAATATATCACATTAAACAAATTTTAGTTTGTTTGGTTTCTCTGTTTTTTTTTTGTTTTCGCCAACACTTTTTTGTTTTCTTTCACGAGAATCATCAGTTTTCATTCATTCATTCATTCAGTGAATATAACGGTGGGTGAATTTTCAATTAAAATTTGGATGTGTGAATCAGTTTTTTCTTCAAATAAATAAATCTCTTTTTGGATAGAAGAAAATAATTGTAATTCCATCAGGAAAAAAAATAGAAATATAAAATCTTGAATGATAATCTTGATTTTTTTGTTTCATCAATGGTTAATATTAGCTGCTAAGATTACGATTAATTGAATTTTAATCGATAAACGATGATGATGGTGATTTGATTTTCATTTGTTTTCAATCGATTGTTGATAAAATAAATAAATAAATTTTTTTTTTACTCTGGAAGCTCTATTTTGATGAATAAATTGAATGATGATTTTTCTGATTGAATAATTATCTTGTTGATTTCGTTTATCGTTGTTGATGAATCATTACATTTCAAAAAAGGAATGTTCACTTCCAATTATTACAATCATTCTCATTCATAAATACATCATCATTATACAGGACAGTATTATTATTTGATTACACAAGACTAGAATAGAATAGAAAATTAGATTCTTTAGGCAAAATTCTGTAGATGTTTTTTGTTGTTGTTGTAAATATATAGTGTATGTATAATGTATTTTTGTATGTTTGTTAAGATTCTTGGTGATCAAATTCGAATCATTTTCATGCTACATTTATTCGATTCTATTTAGACATTTTTTTTTGGATCATAGATATGTGTAGATATAGAAAAGAATGAAAAAAACATTCGAATCATTAATATCATCTCCTGTTCGATAATTTCAATTGCTTGAAGGCAGGAATATCAAGAATTTGATTGAACATTTTTGTTTTATTTTTTGAATGAATAAATTCTCTATCGATCATCATCATCATCATCATCATCATTATAAATGCTTGAAAGAATTTATCCATGTAGCCGATGGATATGATAATGATAATGTTGTTGTTGTTGTTGTTATTAGATGATTATTAAGTAGGTCGATTTATTTTCTTTTCTTTTTCAATTTCAAATGATGTAATTTTTTTTCTGGATGTTTCTTTCACCATTTTTCTTCATATTCATTCTTCCTTCGCGTGTAGGCGTTTTTGTGTGTGTAGGTGAGTGTTTGAATTATATAATTCTGGTGATGTAAATACATAACCAGAATTTTAATATATTTTTCTTTTTTATCATGTTTTTGCACTAGGTGTGTGTGTGTAGGTAGGTAGGTAGGTAGATTGAAAAAAATGAAGAAGAAAAGTTCAAGAGAAAGAAAACTGATACATAAAAAAAAGGAATTAAAAAAAAATTCATTCATTTCGAAAGACAAAGTTGTTTGATGAAGAAAGAAATGTAACAATTTTTCGACTGTCCAATGTTTGTTTTTTGTTTGTTTTTGTTTGATTTTGAAAATGAAAATGAATCGATGAATGGAGAGAGAGAGAAGTCTTGACATCCAAAAAAAAATTGATTTTTCGTTTTCAAGAATATTCTGGGTAAATATAACAAGTGTTTGTTTGTCGTTTCTTTTCTTTGTGAATGTTATTTTTGACATGAATTTTTTCTTCCTTTTTTTTGTGTTCGACAAAAAAAAAATAAGGGATGTTAATGACGATAATAATAAAAAAAATGTCTCTAAAAGTTGATTTTTAGTTTTAGATTTTTGTTTCTGTGTAAAATGTATGTGTGTTTAAAATTAGCTTCTGGTGCTTGTTAGAGGTTGTCAATTCTTCTTTTCAAAAAAAGAAATAAATGGCAAAGTTTTTCTGTTTGCTGCCTGTTTGTGATTATTTAATGGTCCTGTACAGTCGGCCTGATTCTGTGTGTGTGTGTGTAAATGGATTCTTGTCGTTTTTTTTGTTGCTGCTTAGAGAATGCACTTTGATAAAGATTTTCGTTTGTTTTTTTTTCTTCAAAATTCTCGCTAGCAAATGAGAATTAACTAATGTCTAAGTGTGTGTGATGTGTGGGTGAATAATAATGATGATGATGGTGGATGATGAATAATTAAAGTAATAAGAATTTTTTTTTTCTTATTTCAAACAAACCAAATGTTTTTTTTTGTTTTAATGTCGTTTAATGACAATTCTCAATATATGTTTTTCCCGCATATCAAATTCAAATAAAATTTGCATATAGAATTTATCATCACTATTTGATGATGATGTGTGAGACTAGTAGAGAAACTTTTGAATGAATTTTTTCATTCTGATAATGCTCGTACAGTGGTTGTTGTCGTTGTCGTCGTGGTCGATGTTGTTGTAAATTTATTTTTAAATTTATTACTATTTTTTAACATTTTTTTACTATTGATTCGTTAATAATCCTTGATTATTATGCTGATCATTACAATAAAATAATAATAATTTACCGCCACCGCTACCATTATTCGATGATATTGGTAATGTTTCTTGAACTGAATGCGATCCAGAATTATTATCCAATATTCGTTCATCTGAACGTTTCATTATTGTTGTTGTTGTTATTGGTGTTTGAAATTCCAATGAACTAGATTTACGTGGAAAACCAAAACGACAAAATTTTTGTAATTTTAATGAATGATTTGATTTTAATGGTGATGTTGATGATGATGATGATGAAATTGATTCAGGTGGTGATTTATGTCTTTGTCGTTGTCGACTATGATTATGTATAGCTACTATTGATGATAATGATGATAAATTTATTTGATTGTTTGTTTCATTATCATCACAATCATCATCATCATTGGATGAATTGTTTAACACTTCGTTGATAATCTTTTGTTCATTAACATTATCATCATTGTTATTATCATCATCATTTAATATTTGATCCTGATTTGTATTATCACAGATTGGATGAATTAGATCATATTCTTCCATTTGAAGATTTATTTCAAGATGATTATCATCATCGTTGTTGTCATCCTCGTTGTCATTTGGACATAAATATGGTTCATTCACTTTGACTGGATTATCATTATTATTGAATGTCGTTGAATTATCATCATTGTTGTTGTTGTTGTTGTTATCGTCGACACAATGATCATCAACATTTTTGTCATCATCACAATCAATCATCAAATTATTATCGTCAATATTAATTTCATTTAAAAAATTAAATGTTTCTAATGCATCTTTTTCATCTTTACCATAACGTGAATAAATATCATCCAAACGATTTACTAATGAACAACGTGCTTTTGGTGTAAAACTTATTACAACATCTTTAAGACGACTAATCAAGCCTATATATATATGAATAGAATAGAAAAACAAGATTGAGGAAAAGAAAAATGAATGGTTAGAAAATTGTCAAATTCAATTTTTGATTGATGCTAATTATAACGAAAAAGAAAGAAAATGCCGGAAAAGAAAATCGAAAAAGTCGACGAACCTTTTTTTCTTTGTTGCCGAAATCGATGTAAAGCATGTAAATGTTGATGGCCAAGATTTGCATTTATATTATCCATAATGTCAACAACATTTTCATCATTCGTTACCATTGTTGTTGTTGAGGGTTGATTGGTCGTTGAAGATGATGTTGATGATGCCGAAATTATCGACGATGACAATGACAATGATGATGGTGGTAGAATTTTTGAATCATTCATTTTCATTAAATTCGTTGACAATGATGATGTTTGCTGTGATAATGATGATTGTATCGTTGAATTATTACCACCAACATTCGAATTTACTATCTGTCCATTTTGTTGGCAAACATTTCCGATCGATATTGCATTTTGATTGGAAATTTTATTACTATTCTTAGCTGCGGTTGATGATGTTATCGTTGTCGTCGACGTTGTCGTTGTTGATGATAAAGAAATTGGCTGATTAGTTTTTGAATTTATGAATGAATGATTTTGATTATTTGAATGTTGTTGTTGACTAGATTGTTGTAAATGTTGTTGATTTTGATTTTGTTGTTTACCATTATTATGGCCAATTATTGATGATGATGTGGGTAAAACACTGTAATCATTTGGAATAGCCGATTGTTTTTGTTGTAATAATAATGTTGATGTCGATGATGTAGATGATTTTTGTAAATGTTGTTTATATGCTGTTGCTGCACGTGATAATGGTGAATTAACAATAGCAGCGAATAGACAATCAGTTTTCGATGTTGATGTTGATGAATCTTGTGGTGATTTAATTGGTGGTGAGGGCGCTGATTGCTGTTCACGCATTGATAATAATAACGGCGGCCAACGATATTCATCACGATAATTATCATTGTTTGATTTTGTCGTTGTCGATGTTAATGCTTGATTTTTTGATTCAATCAATGATGGTAAATCATAAATCAATTGTTGCTGTTGCTGTTGATGATGTTTATTAATTCGTTTACGATAACCAGAATTATCACAATTAACAAGACCATTTAAAAATAAATCATATTCAAAATCAAGTGATGATACAAAATAATCAGTACCGATTATATCACCAGTCATATATACAATATCATTATCATTATTTTTAATATTCTTATTATGATGATTTTTATTGTTATTCGTATAGGTAAAACCAAAACGTCCAATATTTTGTTGTTGTTGTTGTTGTTGATTATTGTAACTGTGATTTTTTGATGCCATCGTCGTTCGAATTGGTGTTGATAATGTTGATGATGATGAAGACGAAGATGAAGATGATGATGCGGATGATGTTGTTGTTGAAAATTTTGTATAATAAGATGCCATCGATGTGGCTGTATTTAACATTTTGTTCGCAGTTTTTCTTCTTATCAAAAATCAATTTTCAAAAAAGGTTCAACGGGTTTATTTCGTTCATTCTAAAAATTTTTTTTAACCCTTTGACGATGGTGATGAATGAAAGTGAAAGTGAAACTGAAAGTGAGAGAAAGACGAGCACCGAGATTGATTTCGTAGAAAAACTTTGATTAAAAAAAAAATAGTGAAATGTAACCGCAGAACAACAAAAACAAGAAGAAAGCAGAATGATGATGATGATAATTCAATCAAAAATATAAAATTCTAGATAATTTTTTTTATTCATCATCATCATCATCATCATAAAGCAATGGTGATGATTAAATTAAGATGGCGTGATGATATACAGTGGATTGAGAGTGAGAGAGAGAGAGAGAGGAAACAACCGGTACATTTTTTTCATTTCATTTCATTTATCTGTTTCTCATCAACAACTACCATTGATTGATGATGATGATGATGGCGAATACTACGACTATCTTTGTTGTGATGGTGAATGAATGAATGAATGATGATCCAATCGTGTCAAATGTTGTTTTATGCTTATCTCTTGTCAGGTTGAATTTTTTTTTCTGTTGTTCGTTTTGAAAATGAAAATTATTCGTTGATCGTTCGTTCGTTTGTGTGATTATCCACAATTAATCTAGTTTTGTAATGAGAGAGAGAGAAATAGAGAAACAGAAATGAATTTTTAATTATATTCTTGTTCTAGATATGAAAAAAATAACATTTGGGAAAAGTGAAGAAGAATTGGGAAATTGGGGGAAAGAAAAACGAATAGGAATTAATGAAATTTGTCCCAAATTTCTCTTTTTCACTCAATTTGATTATACAATGATAATAATCATAATGAAAATTCACTTCACACAGATACCGGTAATTTTCTGGTTTTTTTTGCTACCCAGCAGCAGCAAACAAACCAAACAAATAACCAAGATACCCATTTTTGGGAACGATAAATCTTTTTTTACCCGGGACATTTTCTCATTTCGGGGTAGAAGAAATGAAAATATTGTCATTTTATTTTTTTTGACATTGACAACCAAAAAACAATGACAAAAGAGAGAAAAGAAAATGTTGCTTGGGATCAAAGATGTCAATTATTTCGTTTGTTGATGATGATATGATACAAACAACAAGAATTTAAATTAAATTTGTTTCAATCAATCAATTTTCATCATCAATTTTTTTTAACTGGAAAAAATTACAAAATTGAAATGACAATGGTTACGACAATGGTAACAACAACCTTCCCAAAAAGAGCATCAATTCAATGAATTAAGAATTAACAATCGAAAAAAAATGAACAAAACAGATCAAAAGACAATGAAGAATTGATGAATTTGACAGTTGACAATAACAACAGAAATGATGATGATCAATATTGAACCATTTTTGTTGTTGTTGTTTCTTTCGTAATAATGATGATGATGATAAATATTCATGAAAAAAACATACCATTCATTCAATCAATCAATCGATCAAACATTCAATTCGTTCAAGGATTTAATTTGTTTTTTTCTGCTTGTTGTTATTGACACAAACAATGGAATTTTCTAATCAAAAATCGATGTTTTTTTGAACACAAAAACAAAACAAAACCAGAACACCAAAAAAACCAGAACACTGAAACAAACAAAACCAAAAAAAATTGATTATCAATGAACAAAAAAAAAAAAATTAATAACTTTTTGATGAACTATTTTGGGGAAAAACTGAATTTTTTTTTCTCTGGTTTGTACTAATTAGACAACGAAGAGACTGAAAGTTTGATTAGAGTAATGATAGGGTGAAAATCTATGTATGTTTGTTTGTTTATATGTTTTTTTTTGCTGGTTGTTTTATGATTATCATCATCATAATCATTATCGATTGATAATTATGATGATAATGATGATAATCATAAAACAAAATCTGTCCTCAATATTTTTTGTTTATGATTGCCGATTTCGTTGATTTTGTATTGATTTTTTCTTCAATAATGATAATGATGATGAAATTTTTCCTTCTTTTTCCCTTTTCGATTTACCATTTGATTAATGAAGTTTTTTTTTCGTTTTGTTTTATTACTTTTTCTTCTTCTTCCTTTCTTCATTACATTTATGATATCACACCATGATAATAATGAGGATGATTGCATTGTCAGTTTATCAAGAAAACATTGTTTAGAAATTGAAATAGAAACCGAAAAAAACTAATATCAAATCAAATCAAACTAGGAATAAAATTTGATCAAATTTCCGAATGAGATTTCTTCATACTTATTCGATGACTTAATGATGATGACGACAATCCGTTTAACCCAGGATACTTGTTATCATCATTATCATATGATAATCAAAATCAGAGAAAAAAAGTGACATGAGGATAAAGGGGTGAAACAACAAAAAGATTCTTTCCAAAACAATGACAATAACACACATTACTTACCATTCAAATTTTTCTCCATAAACCATGATGATGATGATTGAAACAATTGAAAAATCAAACGAAAAAACGTAAACAAACGAAAAAAAACCAAAACCAAACAAAACAAAAAAATGTTTTTCAATGTCCTCACTGTGTGTGTGTGGATGTTATGAAATTGTCATTGTTTGGTGTGTTTTTATTTCTCTTTTTGGTTTCTTTACTGATCAATTTGTTGTTGGTTGGTTTTTTGATATTCATTTCTGGGTAGTAGTCATGACCAGAAAAAAATGATGAAAGAAGAAATTTTTTTTTTTTTGGTTCGCACATGTGAAAGGGGTTTTTTTCCCATTGAATTTTGTGTGTTTGTTTGTTTCCTTTGTTCAAAACCGATTAAGGTTGCTTGGTTTGATGATGATGTTGGCAATGGTGGTGGTGGTGGTGGTGGTAATTTGATATTATATATCTTCAAGATTGTGGACCCAAAGTGAATCCGGTCCAAATGAGACGAATCATTTTGAGTGAAAAAACGAAACAAAAGAAAGAATATTCCGTCATATGATGATCACAAATGAAACATTGAGGGTTCCAATATCATCATCATCATTTGATTCCAGAATTTGTCCTTCAAATTCTTTGTTGTCATGTACAGAGTGTATCGGAACAACAACAAAAAAAAAATCGAATGAATTACGTACGTAACACACACCAACAACAACAGAGTGGAAGAAAACTTTCAAGATAAAGAATCGGGTGAAAACAGACACACAGAAACACAATGAAATTGTAGAATATATGTGGATTCTTTCTTTCTTTATTTTTCTCAAGAATAATGGGAAAAAGTCTATATAACGATTCGACAACGACGACGCAATGCAAAACACACACAAGGTTTAACATCACCTATATTGATGTTGATAATAAACTAGAAGTATTCAAAATGAGAGAAGAATCGGTTAAAGAATCGTTTTCGTAAAGAAAATTTAAAAAAAAATTCTGTTGTTCGTACAATACAAAAAACGGATATATCAAATCAGCATGATGATGATGGATAAGGAAAACGCATGATAAACATGTGAAGAATCAAGTTTTTGTTGTTGTTGTTTTTTTCTCCAAAACGATGTGTATATGTTGATTTCAAATGAATGAATGAATGAATGAATTTGTTGAATGAAAATTGATGTGATAGACATGGAATTTTCGTGTGAGAAAAACTGCTTTACGCATGCTTTATGCATTTTGATGCGCGTGAATTCCGTTTACTTCTGTAACGATTTTGTTCAAATAAAATGAAAAAATTATTAAAGCCAATCAGGTATGAACCTAGATAGATAAATTTTTCGGAAATAATTGACATTTATAAAACACAAAAAAAATCAACAAAAGAAAACGGTGAAACGGTAAATCATTAACCGAATAGTTCCCTAACAAATACACTGTACACACTAAACCGGATTCTAATTGATCGATTACGATCAATTAGTCGATTGCCTATTATGAATTCTGTTCAATTAGAGAATACCATTCTATTCGGTTGTATGTTTGCGGACCTTGACTTCATTTATTCATTCATTCATTTTGAATTTGTTCAAAATGAAATTATGATGATGATGATTTGATTAGTTTAGCTATTTTTTCATATATAAAAATAGAAAAAATTATTATTCAAATATTACAAACAAACAAACAACTTGAAAACAGTGAAAAACAATTTTGAATTTTAATTCGCATTCAACAACATCAAATTCAACGCAACGTCATGTGTTTTGTTTGTTTTAAAGCTTTATTAGCTGTTAAAACGGATTCTTTCTTTCTTTTTCTTTGCAAGAATTATGGTTGTTTTTGCTTGTTTCTGCTTCTGGTGTTTCAGTTTGGATATTAATTAATTGAATCAAAATAATAATAATCATCATCATCGTCATTCAACATAAACAATGTTTGAAAATTAATTCTTCTTTTGCAAAAAAAAATTTTGAAATTTAATTTTTTTAAAAAAAAACTTTTAGAATAATTTATGCTATGTGTGTGTGTGGGATTATTGTACCGAAAAAGATTTGTTTTCAAAAAACAAAAAAGACTCCCACACACACACATCCATTTGATTCTTTTTTTTGGTTCACACTTTCATTTCAATTCTTCAATTCATTTTCATTAATAAGTTTTTTTCGTTGATTTTTCTTTTTTGTTGCTCAAATTGATAATATTTTCAATGACAAAAAACCGAAAACAAAAAATGAAAGTTGTTATCATCTTCAAATGATGATGATAATGTCATCAAGTTATCCAAAAAAAAAGAAAACCTTTAGGGCATTCATTCATATCTCTTCTCTTCGTTTCTTAATTCAGAAGAAAATTATGTTTGTTTGATTTTTGATGTTTGATATTTTTTTTTCCTGTAAAAACAATTCAATTTATTAGTGAGAAAATATGAAATTATCTTGATGATTAATTGAAAGATTTTGTCAGTTTGAAGAAAAAATCCTTGAAATTAAATGTTATCATGTTGTTGTGTGTGTGTGTGTTTGTGTAAAAGTGAAAGGATTTTTCCCATTTTTTTTGTATCCCAAAATCAATTCGATCATTACATTTAGATAAATCAATGTATCAGCAGAAGAAATAGTATCTTTTTTTGGGGAAGGGGGAGGAAAAATAATTTATAATTTTTGCCCTTTCTTAATGGCGGGAAAAATTCCAGATGTCTTTTTTTTTTTTTTTTTTGTTTGAATCACAGATAATGTCAAATTCATATCACATCAAATCAGATTTTCAGTTTTTTTTTCACACAAAATTACAATTTATGAAATCAGAGCTCCCTGACTCTCTCTCTCTCTCTCTTCCAACCGAACAAATGACATGTCATTCTTTTTTCCCCCCTTCTCACCACAAATGACAAAACATGTGATTTATTAATTAAAAAGCAAGAAACAGAAGAAGAAAAGCAAGAAATTATTTTGTTACAAAAACAAAAATTTTATTCGAAACACGAACAAATGAATGAAATCTAAATCTAAACAAAACAAAATAGAATAAACATCACCATCATCCATAACAAAACAATGAAAATCTTCACCATTCATTCATTCATTCATTCATAGGATTTTTGGATTCTTCGTGATTCATATCGTGGCTACATCTTTTATATCTTTATTAATATTATGCACTAAACATTGAATATGATCACCTGATGATGATGATGATAATCACCATAACCATTTTATATTTTGCATGCATTTCGCAAAAAAAAATCAAAAAAAGGGAAATCCTCGTTTTGCTCTCAAATAACCTTGAATGAATGAATGAATGAATAGACAAAAAAAATGTTTTTGTATGAAAAAAAAGAAATGTGATATGAATTGCAATTTCATTCAAGTTTTGCAGCCATAAAATCATCATCATCATCATCTGATTTTTTTTAATAATGAAAACACATGATTTCGCAGCCAAAATCAATCAGCCAAACCCGAAAATGATAATTCATTTTTCTTTCACATTTTCCGCTAATAAATTGATTCGAAAGAAATAAAGAAATAACTGCAACAACAACAACAAATAGAAATTCATTCAAAACCAATAAAGATCATTACTGAATTTGATTATGTAAAAAAAAGAATATAATCTACCTGGGCAAACGAAATAAAAAGAACAAAACAACGCTAGCCACTTTGCTGTCAACCAATGTTTTTTTTTTGTTTCATCAAATATTCATGCTGATAATTGGTCGCATGATGATAATGATGAACAAACAACCGAAATAAGCAGAAAAAAGCATTCAATCGAAATTGAAAGTAACAAAAAAAAACCAAAATGTCTAATGGAGTTTTGGATTGATCGATGTGCACATCCAAAATATTTCAATGACACACACACACACAGACATAGACAATTGTTTTCTGGTTGTACAATAGACAAATTAGTTTAGTTTTTGCGTTTGATAATGATGATAATGATGATGAGAATAGAATTTTGAACAAAACAAAAAAAAAATTTCACTTTTTTTTCTCTCTTCTCTATTTATGGAATCAAAATTCAGATTGCTGCTGCAATACACATAATATTGGTTGGTTGGTTGATTGCTGTTCCCAGTTTTTTTTCATTTGATGCCAATTATCTTATTCTATTGTTTTGAATTAAAAATTGCCATCATTTTTTCCCATTATCATCATTTTTGGGTTTTGGTTTTGGTTTTTGTTCAAAGATAATTGTGTCAAATGAAAGAAAAAAGAGAATACTAATTGAACGAATACAACTTTACTATTGAATGTTTTTTTTTCTCTCTCTCTCTCTTCCAGTTCTATCTATTTGATCATTCAATATTTATTGATCGGTATCAAAATCTATTTTGAATGATTTGACCATTATGAACTTGGCAACCAAAAAAAGAACGAAAAAAAAATCCATTTAAATAATGTCAGGTTCCGTTCACACGTAAATATTGATTTGGATGATTTCATTATTCAAAACCTAAATCTGGTTATTGAAATAGATTGCGATCCCAGAATTGCGTGGGGAAAAAAATGTTTATTATTTAATCGAATATTTTTCTGGAATATTATCATCATTTTTCTTTCCGATTCTGCACTGAGAGAAGAGAATAAATATGAAATTTGCCTGAATAAAGCTGTGTATTTTCCATTATCTTTTCTTCTTCTTTATTGATAATTTGACATTGAAAATAAAATATAGCGATCAAAATGATCATGAAATCGTTTTATCCATGAAAGAAAAAAACGATATTATGGTCATGTAATCAACAGAAAAGATATAGAAATCTTTAATAATCTTAACGCCATTTTTCTTCATTCGATTTTTATCGATTTTTTNTTTTTTTTTTTTTTTTTTTGGTTTTGGTTTTTGTTCAAAGATAATTGTGTCAAATGAAAGAAAAAAGAGAATACTAATTGAACGAATGCAACTTTACTATTGAATGTTTTTTTTTCTCTCTCTCTCTCTCTTCCAGTTCTATCTATTTGATTATTCGATATTTATTGATCGGTATCAAAATCTATTTTGAATGATTCGATGATGATGACCATTATGAACTTGGCAACCAAAAAAAAAAAACGAAAAAAAAATCCATTTAAATAATGTCAGGTTTCCTTCGTTTATTTTCTTTTCATTCACATATTCAAATATTGATTTGGATGATTTAAAAATAAAACCTAAATCATCATCATTGTTGCTGTTATTCTGGTTATTATTGAAATAGATTGCGATCCCAGAATTGCGTAGGGAAAAAAATGTTCATTATTTAATCGAATATTTTTCTGGAATATTATCATTTTTCTTTCCATAAGCATATTCTGTTAAGAGAAGATAATAAATATGAAATTTGCCTGAATAAAGCTGTGTATTTTCCATTATTTTTTCTTCTTCTTCTTTATTGATAATTTGACATTGAAAATAAAATATAGCGATCATGAAATCGTTTTATCCATGAAAGAAAAAAACGATATTGGTCATGTAATCAACAGAAAAGATATAGAAATCTTTAATAATCTTAACGCCATTTTTCTTCATTCGATTTTTATCGATTTTTTTCTTCTTTTCTGATGTACATTTTTTTTTTGCTAAGTTTATTGGGTAAATGTATGCTAACACACAACGTGTGTTCTGTTATTTGGTTGTTGTTTTTGATGATAATGTTGACGGTGCCTGTTATTAGTTTGTATTTTCTGCTTGGCTCACATCATTCGATGTTTTTTTGCTGTTGTTTTGTTTGGTCGTTGTTAAAAGCCATTTATTTTTTTTCCTATAGTTTTTTTTAATTAAATTAAATTAAATTAAAAACAAAATGTTTCGATCTATGATTACAGCTAAATCATTATTACAAAATGGTCAGTATTATTATTATCATTTTAAATTTAAAAAAAATATTTGTAATTTTAAATTTCATTATTTTCAAGGACAATTTCAAACAACCATAAAACGTACATTAAAATGTTCATCAATTAATAATGTAAAAGTTGGTTTTATCGGTATCGGTAATATGGGTTCAAATATGTGTGCAAATTTACAGAAAAATGGTCATGAATTAATACTGTATGATCCAAATCCGAATGCCATAAAAGATTTGATTGCTGGTGGTAATGCACGATCAGTATCAAGTCCGGCTGAAGTTGCACAACAATCTGAACGTGTTTTTACAATGGTACCATTTCCAACCGATGTATTAAATGTTTATACTGGTCCTAATGGTCTTATTGCAAATGCACGAAAAGAAACAATACTTATTGATTCAAGTACAGTTGATCCGGAAACATCGAAAAAAATTGAAACCGAAGCATCAGCCAAAGGTATAAGATTTGTTGATGCACCTGTAACTGGTGCTGTACCGGCTGCACGTGCCGGAACATTAACATTTATTGTTGGTGGCCCAAAAGAAACTGTTGATGAATTACGTGAATTATTACTTTGTATGGGTAAAAATGTTATTCATTGTGGTACAACCGGTATGGGATCAGTTGCAAAATTATGTAATAATATGATGTTAGCAATCAGTATGATTGGTACGGCTGAAACATTAAATCTAGCCAGACGATCAGGTTTGGATCCAAAATTAATGACCGATATTTTGAATATAAGTTCAGGACGAACATGGGTATCTGAAGGTTATAATCCGGTACCTGGTGTTGGATCATCAACAACACCATCCAGTAATGATTATGATAAAGGATTTCGTAGTTCATTATTGGCAAAAGATTTAAATCTTGCACAATTAATTTCTGTACAATCACAATCACCAACACCAATGGGTTCAACAGCATCACAATATTATCGTATATTGGTTAATAATGAAAAATATGCTGATAAAGATTTCAGTGCTATTTATGAATTTTTAAAAGGTCAAAAAAATTGAAAAGTTGTTGAACAAACACACTTTAAAAATTTTAAAACTCTCCGCTTCCATATCAAAAAATCCATTTTAAATTTTTTAAAATTTTGTTAAATTTTTTTAAAAAAATTTTTTATATTGAAAAATGTTGATACATTTGCTGCCATCTAACGAATAATAAAAAAACAACAAAATTTTTTAAAAGTTTTATTTAAAATATAATGAATTTTATTTTTTATAAATTAATTTTAAATAATAAAACTTTTTTTTTGTAAAATGAATGGATTGAATATTTACAAATATTTTTTGTTGTTGTTGTTGTTTGTCAAATGACTGAATTATCAAATTCCATTAAATCATCATTATCGCTATTGGAAGCATTCTGTACAATTGCAAATTGTCTAAAATTATTATTATTATTATTTATATTATGACGTTGATTAAACATTTCCATATAATGAAAATCATTTGGAAATATTCCATTAATTAATTGATATTCTTGTAAAATATTTTCATTAATATTATCTTCATTATTATTATCATCGCCATCAACGACAACATCATCATCATCGATAACAACTCCATTATCACCACCACCACCATTATCATCGATAACATTATCGTCATCATCATAATAATCACCATCATTTGAATCTTCATCATCATCATCATTATCATCGTCGTCTTCGTCATCTTCATCTTCAACATCATCATCATCATCATCGATATTATTATCATCTTCATTTTTATTATTTGGTGATGAATTTTCTACTATCGTACCACCATTCATATCAATAAATCGATCATTATTTATTTGTAATGATTGTTCATCATCATCATCATCAACAATATCATTAAAATTATGATGTTCAACAACAAATGATTGATCAATATCATCATAAACAATACATTGATCTATTTGATCATAATGATCAATATAAGTATCCATCATTGTTGATGTATTATCGATTGTATTATCATTATTATTATCATTATGATGATTGGAAAAATTTGTTGTTGTTGTTGAATGAATTTCTGAATTTCTAATTGAATCTAAATCAAATGGTGATGGTATTAAATCAGTGGTTGAAATAGATGATGATTCATAATTGATTGGATTTGAATTTGATGACCATTCATCATTATTATTATCATTATTATCATTATGATGATAACCAAGTAAATCATCTAATAAACCTTGATCGGATAACATTGATAAAAATGTTTGTATTAGATTATCATAATCATGTGTACGACGATTAACATCAATTGCATATCGTTCAAGTTTATGTTTTTCTTCAACACATTCATGTTGACAACGTAATATTCGATGATTTAATGTTTCTATTAGATGAACAATATCTTGTAATATTGTAGATGATTTAGTTGATTGTTTCACAGTTGTTTGGGTTTCGACTGATGGCGATGATGTTGGTGATAATGTTTGAGAATTGAGACCAATTTCTTTGATTATAGATTCAATAAGTTTCATTTCTTCTTCATTATTATTATGAATGTTTTTTCTTTTTTTCTTTCTTGTTTTTATTAAAAATTTTCGTTTTAAATTTTTCTTTTTTCTCCATTTTCTATTATTAATTTTACAAGAATGATCATTGTCATCATTTTCAGATTCTGATTCAAAAGAATCATCAGTTGTATCGATAATTTTCTTAAGAATATCTTCAATTATTTCGGCAGAAATTTCATCCAAATTCTTTTCATCATCACTCGTTGTTGTTGTTGCTGTTGAATAATCATCATCATCATCGCTATCGAATGCAGGATTATTATGATCATTATTTTTATCAAATTTACAGATGAAAAATTTTGTACATTTTTCACCATCATCATCATCATCATTTTGATGAGTATTGTGTGGAGAAAAATTATAACTTGAACTAGCTTCGGAAGCTGTATCGGTGGATGTACCATCATCATCATCAATATCATTATCATCACATGTTTCCATAATTGATGATTGTTGATTATCATCAAATATCAATGAATTGGCAGTCAATTTTATCTGACTATTAAGTGGATCATCAGGTAGAAATGATGTTGTTGAACAATCAACAATATCATTGAAATTTTGATAATCAATATTTGAATAATTATGTTCATAACGCATTTGGATACTACGATGATATTCCATCTGATGAATAGTTTTCAATAATGATGATCGATTAAATTCCATTGTATTCAATAATCGTTGACGACAATCATATTTATTCGGTATGACAGCCATTAGATTATAACGTATATCACCGGCAACCGTTGTTTCGGCTGATGTTTCAATTCGTTGCCGTACTAAACGACGAAATTTTTCCATCCATGATTCTTTTAATGGATCAATCAATCCATGATCAATTGGTCGTTCTTTTAGGCCATCCAATTCAATCAAACGACCATTAATCGGTACAAATGATACAAAATGAAATGCTTCCATTGTTGAATTAGTATTACGTTGTGAAATTCTTATAGCATTCGATGTTGTATGATGATGATGTTGTTCACGTTCATTTACCATATACATATGTGTAGCATGTGAATTATGTGCTTTAGCCAATTCGGCTAAATTTGAAATGGCTAAACCTTTATCTTCGGGTGTCATATCAGTCGTATATTCCTGTAATGTGAGGTCAAAAAAAAAATCATTAAAAAAATCAAATTTAACAACAATTGTTTTTCCGTTTTTTTTATTTGGTTACCTTGAGTCGTTTGAGCATTGGACCAATATCTAAATATTGTGAACAATTTAACAATATGGATAATATAGCATGAGTTGCACAAGAATTTGGTACTTTTTGATGAGCAAAAAACATTTCATTTAGAAATTTTGGATCATCAATAAAATTACCACTTAATAAACAACTTGGTGATTGATAATTAAGACCATTCGAATTGATTGTGGTTGTCGATGTTGTTGTTGATAATGTTGATGTTGAAGCTGTTGCATTTACTGTTACAATAGAATTTCTTTGACTACAACGATTTCGACGTTCTTCAATAACGTTGAATAAAAATATAAAACCATAAACATGATCCATATTATCGAATGATGATTGTAAATCATAAATTTCTTCTACTTCAACACCTGGACATCCAAAATCTTTTATCAACAATGTAAACAATCCAGGATCGGATTCTAATTCTAACCAATTTTCAGCCAATTGATTTAATTTAAATAAGCCAGGATTTTCGTTCGAATTTATCGTTGGATGATGATGATTATTATGATTATGATTATTAGTATTATTAGTATTATTTACAGACATTTTCGTCGATGATAATGATGATGATTGTAATTTTTCAACAATACAATCATCATCATTTTCCGTATGATTATCAATGGCCTCATCAAATGTGGACATTGTTGAGTCAATCATCATTGATTATCTTTTTGTTGTTGATGCCTCATTTGTACATTCGTAATCAAATCAATGGTAAAAAGATAATCAAATTAAAATTAATTTTTATAATACTATGATTTATATTCGTCATATTATTTTTATAAAGAAAAAATTCGTAAAAATTTTTACGAAATCTGGAACATCAAAACAAAAGCCTTATAAATCTCTTGGGTTAGTCACGTGACCAAATCACTATCACACTGTTTGAATATCGATACAATCGATCCATTTGATTGTTTCGAATAATTTTTTTTTCAAATTTTAATTTTTTTTTATTTATATACTAAATTTTTAAACAATTTAATTACAAATGTTATTTCGAAAAATCAAAAACCCTTTTGTCGAAAAAATTCCGTTATGCCTTCGATAAAATCACCTTTAAATTCAACACTACCTTTAACTTCATGTACACCAGACATAACATGATCAATATTGTAATGTTTTTTAATAAATTCTCTACAATCACGTTCAAATTTCCATATATTACCTTGAATACGTAGTACTTTTGTTATGGCAATAGTTTTTTCATTATTTTCCCATTTAATATCATCCAATCGATCCAATATATGTGCATTATATTTATTGAACATATGATCCCAACGATTTTGCCAATATCGTTTATGATCACGATCAATAACAACATAATCTAAATATATGGGATATAAACGTGAACGTGTTCGAAGAATGTGATATGGTTGATCTTTTGATGGTATGGCAGGTGCAATTATCAATTCACTACCTTCACGTAATGGCCCTAATGTTTGTTTAGGCATTAATCGCTCTACCCATTTCCAAATTGATCCATCCTCATCATTTATACGTTCAGTTTTGGTAAACATTCCATGATCTTCATTTCCTTCGAATACTTGTCGAAATGGTTCGGATTCGGGATCACATTGCATACGTATTTGATCACTGACTTCTTTTTCCGTTTTCAATCGTGTAAGCTCAACAATTTCATCATCCGTTGGTCGAATAAACGGTTCATCAGCCCATGATGGACCTTTTAAAAATTGACTATCATCATAACGATATTCGACATCGATAGGATTTAATTTGATTTTTTTATCATAATCTTTTGAAGAAAGATTTCGATTCGTTGATTTTTGTGTTGCACATGATATGATGATCAAGCGATTCAATAGCAATCGATTGACATTTGTTTTCTGCAATATACGATTACTTATTTGTAGAAGCATTTTTTTCTTACAACTTCAAAATTATTTGAGATTTAAATTATGAAAATTTTCAAAAAAAAAGAATTCAATTTCAACAACATATTTTCCATGCATTCTGGATTCGATAGCGATGAACGAATTAATCGTTATATTCGTTCGTTACGATCGATTTTTTTTTGTTTGTCTGTTTTTCATTTAAATGATGGGCGATGTATGCTGAACTAGCAGCATTGAAGAACAGTACCGAAAAAAATTCCACTTGATCCAGGATCCTTCTTTGCTAACACCACTACCACTGCTGCAATCGGTATCCTCCGAATCGGTTTTGCTGTCGTTGTTGTTGTTGAGTCCAATTTTTTTTTGTATTTATTTTCGACAAGAGTTTTGTTTTTCTTGGTGAGTTTATATAACGACAAAAAAGAATCCCTGAAAAAAAGAAAGATTTTGTTCGTGTGTTTTTTTTTAAGTTTGATCGATTTTGGTCGTTAAATATCATCATCATCTTTTGACAATTTGAAATTGGAATTTAAGCGTTTTGTTTGATGAGTGGGACGGAAGAAAAAACAATTTTAATTTAATTATCGCGTTTTTTTTGTTGTTGATGGAATATCATCATCATTGCGTCTTTGTTCATATATTTAGTGTGACGATGCGATAGATTTTTGTTTGTTTGGTTTCAATATTTTATCATTTTTATGAATTTCTTTCTTTTTTTTTTGATTATTAGAAGAATATATTTCGAAAAATTTAAATTGCTGCAAATAGACCAAAACAAAACAAAAAAACTTCGACAAACATTTTGAATTGTTTCACGACGCACAAAAAACCACGTGTTTTTTTTCTGTTGTTGATTCTTTATGACTTGTGTTTGTATATAATCTCTTTACAAATTTACATTGCTTTATTTTTTGTTTCTGCAAACAAAAAAATCCAAGTTCAATAAAATAACAGTGTTCATCATGAGTGAATTAAATTCCAATTTACAACGATTATTTAATGCTGTCTCATCGACGTCGCCTTCAACGTCGAATGCTGCAGCAGCATCAGGGACGACGACAATAAAAACAACAACAACAACAAATCAAAATCCATTTGATTTTTTTACAGCAACTAATAATAAAATGATCGATCCAATGTCAATCATATCGTCATCATCATCATCATCTACGCATCAAAAATCATTGTATCAATCATCATCATCATCGAAGCCAAATCATTTTGTAAATAATATTAATGGTAATATAATGGAAAAAGAAACGCAACCACAATCATCATCATCATCATCAATGTTTTTGTCCGAAAATGATATAATTACATCGTTGATGAAACATACTAATCATCAACAACAACAACAAAATACTGACAAAACAAATGGATTTTGGTCATCATCGAATGAACAATCGATTCTTGATAAACAACAATCATCATCATCATCATCAATATCGAATGATTTATTTGCACTATTTCAACCGAATCGAACGGTAATAAATGATGGCCAACAACAATGTTTAATGGGTAAAAATATTCCATCATCATCATCATCATCAACAATGGCAACAACATTAGAATCATTGGAAAATTGTTTAAATACTGATCGTCATGATGGTGGTTCGTTGAATCGATCAACAACACAAGCAATTCCAATCAATAATAATAATAATAATGATGGTGATAATAATATGAGTCATTGTATGAAATCATTTTTATTTAATAATGAGCAACAACAGAATTCTGCATCAGAATTGATTGGCAATAATAATAATAATAATGTTGTTATGGATAATATTTGTTCATCATTATCATCATCCGAATCGGAATCAAGTCAATTTTCACCACCATCAACATTAGTATCGGATATTGTACAGGAAACAGTAGCATTTGAACATACTGAAGATTTTATACGTAGTTTACAGATACCATTGGATGTATTGGATGATTTAGCATCACGTTTTGTTTTGAATATGCCTCAGGAAGAAAAATATGATCCAATTAGGATTTGTTTTCAGATGGAGAATGCATTCTGGCATTATTTGGATTTCTGTTGTGAATGTGATTCACGATTGCCAAAATTTAAATTTAAACGTTTCGCTCAAATAATGTTCACTTATGTGCCACGTTTACGACAATTTTTGGATGTATTTGATGATGTTGTCAACAAATGGATTCAATATAAATTTTCTATTCCTTGTTCCGGAGCAATAATGTTGGATGAAACAATGGATTATATTCTACTTGTACAAGGTTATGGCAATAAAACATGGGGTTTTCCTAAAGGCAAAGTTAATCATGATGAATCATTAATGAATTGTGCCGTTCGTGAAGTGAGTGTTATTGAATATGGATGATATTTTTTAATTAAAAATTTTTTGATAGGTTTTCGAAGAAACTGGATATAATTGTATGGGAAATATACTAGCAGACCAATATCTTGAAAGAAAAATATTTGAATCACGATTACGTTTATATTTGATACGTAATGTTGAATTTAATTATGAATTCAAACCTCAAGCTCGTAATGAAATTCGTTCGATTAAGTGGTTTGCATTGAAAGATTTTCCACAAAATCGTCAAGATCAAACACAACAACATCCGAAAACATCATCTCAAATGATGGCTGTTTCGAATGGTGGTGGTAATATTATTAACGGTGATGTTGTTATGATGCCACAGAATGCTAGTAAATTTGTATCGATAATGCCATTCATGCAGGCCATACGTAAATGGGTTGAAAATGAAAAACGAAAAATGAAAGTTGTACGAAAACGTGAACGTCGTCAACAAATGAAATTGGCTAAACAACAACAACGTAAAGCGAATGAATTGGCGGCAATTTTTGGCGGTATTAATTCCACAATCAACGCTAATGTAGAAGGAAAAGGTAGTTCGAATTCAAGTTCACCAACAAGTACGATTGATGATTTGAATGATAATAAAACAATAGTTATCGATAATGATAGTGATAGTACATTGAATAAAACAACCACATCATTTGTTGATGTTGATCTCAACACTATACTTGGCTATCGTGAAATGTATAACTATAAAAATGATCAACGAAATCTAATGACTAGAGAACAACGTAATCATGAACAAACATGGCAACAACAAATGTATACATTTTCAAATGGTGATGGTATTGCTCAAGAATCAAATTCATTGTTGAATAATAATCAGGATAAACATAATGCATTACCTCAAGCTGGACATCTTGAAGATATTGAACGAGCTTTGATGGAAAATAGTTTTAATAAAAATGAAAATAAAAAGGATTCATCATCATCAACATCATCGATTTTATTGGGATCAAAAGGTTCCTGTACAGAAAAATTAAATATTCTATTTGGATTAGCTAATCAACAACAAACATCATCATCCAATACAATGATCTCATTGAATAATAATCAACGGCCATCATCATCAATGTCTGTTAATCTACCTAATGGTAATAATAATGATAATGATATGGAATCGGAAATAAATAAAATGATCAAACCATCATTAGCACCGATCGGAACAAGACGATCTTCATCGATTAGTACTTGCTATGCTGATAATCAACGAAAAAATTTTTCTGGTCATATTGTGATCTCTAACAATAATAATAATAATGATAATGATGATAGTGGTGATAATAGCAGTAGTAGTAGTAGTAGTATCAAAAACAATAAATCAAACAATATTATCAATGGTCAAATATCATCGAATAATAATGATCATCAAAATTCAATTGAAACTATGTTAAAAGATTTGATTATCAATAATAATAATAATTCAAAGCAACAACAACAACAACAATCACCGACCAACAAAAAAACATGTCGTCAAACTGAAACGAAAAAAATGAATGGTCATTATAATGGTTTAGATTCCGAAACAGTTATGATTGTACATCCAAAAATTGAACAATTATTACAACGATTGAAAACTGTTTATATGGCTTGATTAATTGATTGATTGTTTTTGATTTTTTCCCTATTGCTACTGCTTTTCATGTGCTATATCATTTTTTTTTGATTATTATTATTTAAATATCTTTTTATATCAAAAAAAATCAAAGAATCGTCAAACAACAACAAAATAATCAAGTCTTTCATTCACTTTCACTTTTTTTTTGTGTTAATCATTATTATCATCACCTTTCTTTCTTTTCTTTATTCATTTAATTCATCTCAAATTTGTCCCTCAACATCATCATTATAATGATTACCTCAAGTTTTATCTTCTTGTTGCTTCAAAAGAAGAAGATAATATTCTGTCCTTTTGATACCTTTGTTGCCTTTTACAATTGGAAGAGAATACAGTATCTTTCTTTTTTGTTATTTGTATCGAAAAAGAAAGAGAACAGAGCAGAAATTTTGCTGCCTTCTATCCATCATTATTATCATCACTTGTTTCATCAATTATCTAATTTTACCAAAACAACAACAACATAAAAAAACCGAAGATTCTAATGAATTCCGGGTATATTCTTCAATGTGTGTGTGTGTGTATTATGTTTTTCTTTATTTTCAATTCTAAAGATTCTTTTGTCCACACACACACACACACCATAAATTGGACCACACATAATTTCTTTTTTTTTCTTATTTAAATTCTTTCTTCTTAAATTCACATCACACATACATAATTATTCTGTTCATTCATTAATTTTAGATGTTAAATTCATTTGTGTTTCAACAACAAAAAAAATCGAACAAAATTTTTCATATCGAAACATCATTTGTGTAAATAGGTAAAATCATCAATTACAACGGAAAGTTTTTTTTTGTATAGTGTGATTTTTTTTTTTGGTCTGTAAAATTTTGTGGCAATATCTTTTTGTTATTTGTCATCATCATTATCACCACAACCAACCACTATTCATTTATCGTTTTATAAAATGTAAAAATAATTTGATCCCTTTCTCTCCCCCCTACACAAAGAAAATTTCAACGGAAAGTTTTTATTTTTTACTAAAAATTTTTTTCCTTCCTTCCCATCCAATTTATTTTCTCAAAAAAAAAATTCTATAAAAAAAACAAAAAAAAATAAATTTTTTTTTGGTCTTCGGACCTTTAAAAGAATCTGTCTGTGTTTATTCGTGTGAAAAAGATGTGTGCCAAAGAAAATCAGAAAATCCTATAGAAATAAAAATTAAGTAAAGTGATACAGTCGTATGTTTTTTTTCAAATAAAAACACGAATTTCTTGATAACCAATACGTAGTAAACATAGAATAGCAAAAAAATCCATAAACATCGATAGATTAAATATTGAATTCCAACCAAATTTATCGGCTAATGGTCCGGTAATTGCCGGTCCAATTGCAGCACCAATTGATCCAGTACCATCAATAATAGCCGAAACAGTTGCCATTGCACTTTTTGATGGTACTTTACATGCAAGATTTGCTGAAACAGCTGTTGTTATTAATGCATATGGTCCATTGATAAAAAAACCGGCTATAAATTGTAATAGAAAATTCATTGCTTTTGATATGGCTGAATATTTTTCAAAAACAAATAAACTTGGTATAGCAAGCATTAGAAATAAGATACATATTATTCCACTTGAATTTGTACGATCAGCTAATAAACCAACTATTATTGATCCAATCATACCACCAATATCGAACATTATTGATTGATATGCTGATGATGATGAACTTAGATGATCTAAAAAAACAATGTTGGAAAAAATTTACATCAAAACAACAACAACAACAGACAAAAATACATACCATTTTCTTCAAGAAATTTTGGCAACCAATTCAAAAATATATAGGAAACAGATTTTGTAAATGCTAAACAGAATGCAAATTCAATAACACCCGGTATAAGTAATGCTTTCCAAAAACTAATTGCTTTTTCATTATCATTCGGGTTATTATTATTATTATTTTTATCAAGATGATTCAATGATGATTGTGATTCAATCAATGTTGTTGTTGTTGTTTGTTCATTATCAATACTTTCAACATCAATACCAATATCGTTAGGATGTGGTATTAGAAATAAAAACGATAAAATTGCCACTACAATACAAATTAAACCAGGTATAATGAATGAAAAACCCCAATCAATATCAACAAATGCACCGGCAATAACTAAACCAAGAATATTACCAAAACTTGTATGTAAATTCCAAATACCTAATATTAAACCTTTTTTACGATTACCAAACCAAACACCAACAATTGCAACAACAGTTGGCCAACCAGTTGTTTGTACAATACCATTTAAACATTCCATTATAATAAAAAATGTTTCTGAATGTATTTTTAATTGATGTGATAAACCAAGTATAATACACATTATACCACATAATATTAATGAACCAGAAATAAAATATCTTAAATCACTACGTTCAGCAAAATAACCGGTAAAAAACATAAATACAGCATAATTTCCCCAATATAATGCATCCATCATTGATAACATTGATTTACCATATTGTCCTTCGAATGGTGACCAATTTTCAGTTGAATTTACATCGATAAATAATTTTGATTTAACCACTGACATTGATTTACGTGATATATGATATGTTGAATAAATTATAAATGTTATTATTAATATTAATAAACGATGTTGAAATAATCTACGTTTTGGATCACCATTATTATCGATAATAATTTTCGATACTAATTTTTCATTAATACGCCATTTATTTCTTGATTTAAGGATATTCATGATAATTTTCTTTTCTTTTTTTTTTTTTTTTTTTGAATGAATTATTCTGATGATAATGATGAAATAATGATGAAGTGAAGAAATTTTTTATTTTTTTTTATTTTTTGAAAACGAAAGGATTAACTAAACGATCGATAAAAAATGATACTTTTGTTTGTTTGTTGTATTTATACAATGTCTCAATTGATTAATAACATTTCTTTTGTTTTATCTATTTCTCTCTCTCTCTCTCTCTCTCTCTCTCTCTCTTCCCGTTTTCCATTACCTATTTCAATCATAATTGCTGTTAATAATTACCTTGAATGAATGAATGAATGATAAAAGACAATCATTAAAATGATAATTTTGATCTTGATCTTGATTTAGATTTGATTTGATTTGATTTGATTTGATTTGATTTGATTTGATTTGATTTGATTTGGTTTGGTTCGATATTTATTTTATTTTTTATTTTATTTTTTTGTTAAGTGGTTTGCATCCAATTAAAAATTAAATAATTCTGTCATAATTTTCTAATTAGTATTATTATTATTATGGAGTTGTTGATGTAGATTTCCATTAAATTGATACATTATTTTTATTTTATTTTTTTTTTTTGTAAAAATCAATCAAATCTTATCATCAAAACTATGGAATGTTTTTAAAAAAAAAAATCATTACAAGATTGGATGTTTGATAACCATAAAACAATGTTTCAAAAAAAAAATTGTTTATGCGCTTGTGCGGAACGAAAAAAATTTTTTTGGTTTCTATTTTTGAAATGTAAAATTTTTGCCAAAAAAAAACCGAAATCCGTTAACCAAAATGAAGAATCATTTTTTTTCTGGTTATAAATAAAGAAATGATCACCAGCTGCTCCTGCTCTCATTTGATGATGAATTTATTATCATCACAAACTGATGCCAATAATAACAATCATGATTCTTTTTCTTTTTTTTTGATTGTGATCGATTGATTGATTGATTTATTAATAGGAATAATAATAAACCATAAGAATCAAGACAAGATATTCAAATCCAAGAACAGAACAGAACAAAACAAAGAAAAAAACATTGTTCGAAGCTTATGATCATCATCATCATTTAACATCAACAATAACGGTGTAAAAATAAATGTCGATTGTTGATGATTGCGGTGGTGGTGTTCGCTATGTTGATCGACATTCACAAATGATCATCATCGATAATCATCGTCATAGTCGTAGCCATTCACATTCAAATTCAAGACAATCATCATCATTATTAATGTTTCAAAATTATCATCCAATGATGATGAATGATAATAATGGACAACAACAACAACAACAAATCAATTATGAACGACAAAGACGAAGACAATCTGGACAAATACTTGAAACACAATTAGATGATGATAATTATAATGATGATAATTATGATCATTATTCAAATGAAAATCAACAATCATCATCAACAATAATCATTAATAATGAACCAAGATATTATAATGAAAATTTTGATTCTGAATGTCCAACAACAACATCAATGGAACATCAATTACAAGAAATTGATCCTATTATCGATAATCAAATGATGTTAATATATCCATCTGATGATATTGTTGATAATGATGAATATCTTATGCAACAACAACAACAACAACAACAACAAGAAGTTGGTATTTATGGTTGGCGTAAAAAATTCCTATACATTTTATTAGCCATCAATATTGTTATGGTTGGCATTAATTTTGCATTAGCTTTTTGGATTATTTCGGTTCTTGGATTTTCTACGGTAAAAACCAGATTTATGTTTTTTTTGTTTGCCTTGATTTTTCATTGATTATTATTTTGATTTATCATTCCCGCACACACAGAACGGTATCGGTCCAATTGATTTTGGATCAATCGATACAACAACCATATCGAATAATAATGATCAAATAATTCGTATACATGGTTCAACTGTATTCGAAAAATTATTATTTGCACGTCATTTACGTTCATGGCCAAATGATGAATTACGAATGACAACGAAAAATGGTGATCTAATATTTCGATCATTATCAAATGATTCATCTTCGACCAATGAAAATCGATTGATCATTTCGAATGATAAAATTACATTGATTACCGATCATTTTGAAGTTTATGATCGAAAAAATTCGTTGATGTTTGCTTTGGATTCCGAACCAACCGATCAAACACGAACAACAAGACAAACGATTAATCAATCTGAATCTAAATCTGAACAACAACAACAACAACAACAGATAACAATTCGATCGAATGCAATCAAATTTTTAAATGATAATAATAATAATTTAAATCTACCATTATCATTACAAACACCATCAATAATCAATACGATCAATGATGAATTACGTTTATATTCACCACAAAGTCGTGTTTTGTTACGTGGACCACAATCATTATATTTAGAATCAAAATTGGGTGATATTTCTATTGTTACCTATGATGATTTACGTTTACAATCAAATGCTGGTCGTGTAAGTTGATTTTAAATTTGATAATTTTATCCAATCATATTGGTAATGATGATGATAATTATTAGATTACATTCGATAGTCGTTCTATTTATATGCGACATTTATGGACCGATAATACAACCAAAACATTGATTGGAAATCAAACATTAATGGATCAGGATCAGGATGATGAATCAACATTATTATTTAAGAAACCAATCGTATATCAAGTATGTGTTTGTTCAAAATCTGGACGATTATTTTTAGCAAATGCTAATCAACCTTGTCAAGTGAAATCATATCGTGATTGTCGATGATAATTAATGATTATAAGGATTATTATAAAAAAAAATTTTTATTTAAATAAAAAAAGTATTAAGCAATTTAATAAAAATCAATTATCAATCAAATTCCATTGGTTGTTCAAGATCGAATGCAACTTTTTCCACTGTACAACGAAACATCATCATAAATTTTACACAAAATAATTCCAAATGAATTATTGATTTTGAACCTAATACTAAACGATGATCAATTTCGGCAGCAATAGATATTAGATTGGATTTCATTTCATCATCCAAACAATAATCCATTAATTTACAGACCAATGTTCGTAAGATAATATTTGATGGTATTAAATGTGTTTGTAGATCGAATAATATTTGTCTAATTTCGGAAACTTGTTTAACATTTTGTGTATGGGTCAATTTTTTTGATAATTCTGTTAATTTTTGTTGCCAACGAAATTGTTCCAATTGTTGGATATTATTTTTACGTTGTTGTTGTGGATTCAATTCTTGTTGAATGGCAATTGTTTGTAATAGAATTATAGCACGACGTACATTATGATCTGAATCACGAATAACATTATTGATTAATGTTTCATTACAATCAAATTGTTCGGCTTTTGTGATTGTTTGTAATACTTGAAAAAGTTCATCGGTTGATGGTGATGAACAACGAAACATTAAACAACGTGATTTTAATGCCGGTATTATACGACTTGAATGTTCAGCCATTAAAATGATTCGACATGTTTCAGCATATTTTTCCATTGTACGACGTAATGCTTGTTGTGCTTCTTTTGTTAATGAATCAGCCTGATCAATAATAATCATACGAAATGGATATTTTTTAATAACGGAAAGATTTGTAGCCATATTTTTTATTAATTCTTGTACAACAACACGATCATAATAACCATTTTCACTTGGATTTACTTCCAAATGTAGATTACTTGATAAAAATGTTTGAATAATTTTCTTTCCACTTGGTGTTTCGAATATTTTTGTTTCGATTTTCAGTTTACGTGATGATGAACCAAATATTTCGAATAAAAGTGAACGAACTATTGTTCGTTTACCTGAACCACATGGTCCATAAATGAAAAGATGTGGAAAATTTTCACGGCTTATTAATTTCTTCAAACGTGCTGCTTCATTTTGATGAAATTGAAATTGATCAAAACGTTCCGGACGATATTTATCACACCAAAGTTGTTTGATGGACATTTTGTTTTCCTCGAGAAAAACTAAAAGAAAAAATTTTCAAAATTCAGAATTTCAATAAGGCGGCAAAACAAAAAAATTGTGAGCCAATTTTGGAGTTTACACTCCAGACTTTCAGGTTTGTTTTGTGGCGGTGGTGGTTACATTGTGTGTGTGCATGCATCTGGTGGTGTGAGCCGTAATAAAAAAAAAGCTGAATGATTCAGGCTTTTTTTTACGTTCGATGTTTACGAAGATTTTTTTTTTGATGGTTTTTTCTTGTTTCATTGTCAATATCGATGACGACGAATTCTTGTTGTTGTAATTAAACAGATTTAAGATTATTATTATTATTTTGAAAAATTTGTAAACAATCAATAATAAAAACAAAACAAAAAAATCAACGATGACGACTGAAACATCAAATTTACGACCACAACCGGTCGATTTTAATATTGTTTGGCAAACAATTCGTGGTACAATTAATAAAATATTATGTTTAAGTTATGTTTCAAAAGATGAATGGGGTGATCGTTTTCATGATATTTATAAATTATGTATTGCTCATCCAGGTATTATTTTTTTAATTATTTGTGATATCTGTTGCTTCAATTCTAATTCTGTTGTTTGTTTGTTTTTTTGTTTTATAGAATCATATTCCGATCGAACGTATCATGAAACAAGAAAACTTTTAGAATCACATGTTAAAATGATTTATGCTGTAAGTTTTGTTTTGTTTTGTTTGTCAAATTTGAAATACATTTTTTCTTTTGTATTTCAGTCGGTAAAAGAAAATCCATCAAATATGAATGATTTGCTCAATATTTATTATGAAAAATGGCAAACCTATCAACAGGCAATCGAATATTTAACATTATTGTATATTTATCTAAATACACAATATGTTAGAAAATTTCGTCATGGTAATAATGAATTAGGTGATGATAATAATCGTTCGAATGAAAAATTAATGGAAATTAATGAACTTGGTGCACATTTATGGAAAATGGAAATGATTATGCCACTTAAAGATAATCTTGTTCGGCTTTTATTACAGGCTATTAATGAGTAAGTGTAAATTGTCCATGTTTTGTAAATAACCATTAATTTTTTCAACAAAAAAAAATCAATTAGCGACCGTTGTGGTAAACCACAGAATCATAACGTAATTTCAACTGTTATCAATTCATTCATATTGATGGAAAGATTTGGAAACAAAAATAAACCAGTATTGTATCGTGAATTGTTTGAAGAACCATTTCTTATTGCAACTAGTACATATTATAGTCATGAAGCAAGATTATTATTACAAAATAATGATTGTTCAAATTATTTGGAAAAAGTTTTAACAATTATGAATGTTGAAAAAGATCGTCTTTATAAATTGATACCGAATGAATCACATCAACGTGTTATTGAAGTTGTTGAAAAATGTATGCTTGGTGATTATTTGGATTTTTTTCAAAATGAATGTCGTTTAATGGTTAAAAATGAAATTAGTCGTGATTTACGTAATATGTATCTATTATTGAAATCAATTGAATCTGGATTGAAAATAATGGTCGATCAAGTTGAATTACATATCAAAGAAAAAGGTTTAGAAGTAATAAAATGTATAATCAATTCAAAAGATGATAATCATATACAAACATTTATTGAAGAAATACTCAAAGTTTATTATCATTATCTTCATCTAATTGAAAATATATTTTCTGGTGATAAGATTTTTATGTCGGCATTAGATCGTGCTTGTACAGCTATTATTAATTATCGTGAAAATACTAAACAACCATGTAGATCACCGGAAATTTTATCACGTTATTGTGATAATTTATTAAAAAAATCGGCAAAAAATTCATCGGAAAAAGAAATGGAAACAAAAATTACTGAAGCTATTATCATATTTAAATATATAAGTGATAAAGATATATTTCAAAAATGTTATTCAAAAATGTTAGCCAAACGTTTAATACATTCACAATGTATTTCAATGGAAAATGAAGAATGTATGATACAGAAAATAAAATCTGTTTGTGGTTATGAATTTACATCCAAATTACAACGAATGTTTACCGATGTTAAAGGTTAGTAATTCTGATGATGATGATGATGGTAACTTTTAATTAAACTTTTTCATATTTTTGAATAGTTTGTGATGATTTTATGGTTGGATTTCAAACACATCTAGAGAATAGTAATATAAAATTACCAATGTCATTTTCGGCATACATATTACAGGCATGTGCATGGCCATTCTCACAAACACCGGTATCAAATTTTAATATACCATTAATATTTGAAAAAGCTGTACATGAATTTGAACATTTTTATCTAAATAAATTTAATGGCCGTAAATTGAATTGGATATTCAATGTAAGTCAAGGTGAAGTAAAATTTTTATATACAAAAAAATTGTATCAAATCACAATGAATACATTTCAAATTGCCATCATATTGTTGTTTGAAAATGTTGATGAATTATCCTATGAAGAGATTCAGGTATTTATTTTCATTATTATCTTTATCATTTCATTTTCTTAATTCCAATCCAACAATTTTAGCAAAGTACCAGTCTAAATGATGAACAATTACAAAGGCATTTACAATCATTTACTGATTTGAAAATTCTTCTATTAAATAATCCATCATCACCATTATCATCAGCTTCATCATCATCATCATCATCGGTAGCAAGTACATCGATTCAAGCCAACAGACAACAACAATCTCAACCGGAATCATTTCCAAAATCTACAAGATTTTTATTGAATAAAAATTTTGCTAGTAAACGTATGAAATTCAAGATTAATGTACCACCACCAAAAGAAGTTCAGGTAAACTAAATTATTTGCCTTCATTCATTTACAAACACTTAAATTGAATTTTATTCTTTATATATATAGCAAAAAGAAGCTGAACAACAAAATGCATCGGTTGAAGAGGATCGTAAAATGTTTTTACAGGCTGCAATTGTACGAATAATGAAAACCAGAAAACGATTACGACATAATGCATTGATTGAAGAGGTTATCAATCAAGCGAAACAACGTTTCAATCCAAATGTACCGATGATTAAGAAAGCAATCGATTCATTAATTGAAAAACAATATATCGATCGATATGAAAATACCGATGAATATCATTATATGGCCTAAATCATAATGATACACTTATTTTTTAAAAAAACACTACAGATTCTTTCAGAATTTATTTTATTTTTTCCCCTTAATTGTATCTCGTTCAAAGAAAAAAAATTAATAATTTTCTCCCCCATAAATCCTCTTTTTAATAAAGAAAATAATAATAATAATTAATAAAACAAATTTATAAATGAGATTATGATTTGAAGATGGCTCGGTGGTTCCAGTGTGTTAAAATTCATCAGGTAGTTGTAGAGTTATCATTATTTATCCAAATCATTAGATATTTACAAAGCATATTGATTTTATTAATTTTTGACAAGAAATTCATCATCATCGTCATTGATAATTGTTTTATGGCTATTGCTAACAATTGTTGTTGCATTCGAATTTGTTCGCATCAAATATGAACCGGATGATGATGATTGTTGACGAACTTGATGATTAATATTATTCCAAAATTGTCGATATATTCGTAAAAGATCCGGTGGTCTTTGAATGTTTAACCCGACATCATTCCAATTATCAAAATCTTGATCAGTATTTTCATCACAAAATGTTATTGATGTTATTTTATAATTATGTGCCATTAAATATTCATTGATTAGATAATTCAGTGCACGTTTTTCATGTGGTTTAATTATTGTATTACCACCACCACCAGTACCTGATTCATATGATAAATTTGTTGATTTTTTACTAAATTTATCATCTTCACCTGGACATGAATCACCATCGGCTGAACCACGATAATAAAAATCTCTACTAAATTCATTGTTGGAATATTCATTAAATTTGGATTCATTGATAAATAAATCATCATTATTATTTGGTGGTTCACATTCGTTTAATGGTAATTTATTATTATTACCACCATTATCAACCATATCTGAACATTGTCCAGTTGTGGTCATCGTAAGACTAGCACGTAATGAATCAATAGTTTGACGTGCTTTACGTAATTCAAATTCCAATACAGCAATTCTTTCATCACCAATATGTCTTTCAATATCTTCATCCGAATAATGTGTAGAATCTAATGAATCGAATGTATTTTCCGATGGACTTCGTTCGATTGAAATTTTTTTCGGAAACATTGTTGTTGTCATTGTTTCATTACTTGTTGATGGACGATTTGTTGGTGAAATATCAAAATGTTTTTCAAAATTTTGTGGATTATCAAAATAATCACGTAATCTTGATGATTCTTTACCACGTTCAACAAGTTCGGCATGTAATTCTAATGCTGTCAATAGAAAACCAGAACGTAATAGTTTACTAGCAATTCGATCAAAGATTTCCATTTCCGAATCAATATTTGATAATTCAGATTCTTTTGTCGATTCATTCGGATTATCGACAACAACATTTGATTTGGTGGATGATGTTGTCATTGTCAGTTCTTCTTGAGTTTCCATTTTTTTGTTCAATTATCAATTATATAAATCGTGATCATATTTTTGATTGAAAAAATTTTTGTTTTATTTTAAATTTGATTTTTCGAAATCGATGATGAGTTTTCATGTGTGTTTTTTCTCGATGAGAATTTGTCAAAACAAAATGAAAAAAAAGATTATATTTTTTTTGAAAACATCCTCTATGAATGGATCTTGGATTCTAAACAATTTTTGGGAGAATAATGGATCCATGAAAACAAAGCAAAACTCTGAACAAGACAGATTTTTTGATCACGGGATTTTTTGTTTTCTTTTGTTTTATTGTCATCAATAAAAATCTTAACAAACAAATTTAATCTTTGTATACTGGTTTAAATAATCCTGGTTCAAATGAGGATGCATACATTTGGCGAGAAACCTACTGCATTCCAATTGGAAGCAGGTGGTGATTATTATTATATTGGTTCTGAGGTATGTTTTTTGTTGTTAATGTTTTTTTTTGGTTTGTTTTCTGATAATGATTTGATATATTTTTTTCAATTAGGTTGGAAATTATCTTCGTATGTTTCGTGGTTCATTATATAAAAAATTTCCATCATTATGGCGTCGTTTAGTAACTGTTGATGAACGTAAACGTATTAATCAATTAGGTCTTGGTGCACATTCATTGGCAACAAATATTACTTTGTTGAAAGCAACTGAAGTTGATGAAATATTTGCCGGTAATGATGAAAAATATAAAGCAGTATCGATAAGTACAGAACCATCCGTACAACGTGAATCGAAACAAAAACGACCAAATTGGGCACCATCATTACCGAATACATCACATCATTTGGATGCTGTTCCTTGTTCAACATCGATTGCACGTAATCGTATTGGTCATAAACGTGTTCGTACATTTCCATTATTATATGATGATCTTGATTCATCACTTGTACATGAAAATTCATTACAACAAGAAGTATTGATACCGATTCGTTTGGATATGGAAATTGATGGACATAAACTTCGAGATACATTCACTTGGAATAAAAATGGTAACATTGATTTTTATAATTTTTTCTTTCAAATAATGCTTTCAAACTTTTTTTCAAAAGAAAAAACTACAAGTCCAGAACAATTTGCCGAAGTTTTATGCGATGATTTGGATCTACCATCATCATCATTTATACCGGCAATTGCTCAATCTATACGACAACAAATTGATGCTTTTCCAAATGAAACATTCATGGAAGATGCACCACCAGATCAACGTGTCGTACTCAAAGTATGGTCATCATTATTTTTTAAAAATTAAATCTTTTCTGATTGCGAATTGTTGTTTTTTTTCTTGATCGAATCCATTAGCTCAACATACATGTAGGTAATATTTCGTTGGTCGATCAATTTGAATGGGATATGTCGGAAAAGGCAAACGATCCAGAAGAATTTGCACTAAAATTATGTGCTGAATTAGGTTTAGGTGGTGAATTTGTAACAGCGATTGCATACAGTATTCGTGGACAATTAGCATGGTATCAACGAACATATGCATTTAGTGAAAATCCATTACCAACAGTTGATCTACCATTTCGAAATCCTGGTGATGCTGATCAATGGTGTCCATTCCTTGAAACATTAACCGATGCCGAAATGGAGAAAAAGATTCGTGATCAGGATCGTAATACACGTCGTATGCGACGATTAGCTAATACAACTTGGTAATCTTATCAATTCAAAGCATCCAACAAAAACAACAAAACAAACATCTATCATCATTAAAAATGGTCAAGCGACTCGGATGTTGTTCATTTTATCTCAATCAATCATACATAAATACATGCATAAAATTCATGTATTTTACATAATCAATTACCATAAACTATAGATGGCATCATTAATAAATCAAAAAACTTTTTTTTTTCGCCATTCGAAACCCACACCCGCCCACACATATATTTTTATCATTTTCTTGAAATGTTGTTTATCATCATTATCATTAAAAAAGAAAACATTCGAATATTTCTTTCTGGAATGATTTTCTGAGTACATTTTTGACAAAAGTTTTTGTTTTCATTTGATTGCGTCGTAGTTTGCAACACGAAAGAAAAATCTTTCAAATTTAATCACATTCGAAAATGACATTAGAATTTCCTGGACAAACTGCTTTGGTAACTGGTGCTGGTCGTGGAATTGGCCGGGAAATTGTTCGACAATTAGCAACAAGAAATGTTAAAGTTATTGCCATTTGTCGTACTTGTACGGATTTGGATTCATTGAAAAAAGAACTACCAAATATTGAAACAATTGCATTGGATTTACGTGATTGGAATCAAACACGTAAAACATTAGAACCATTTTCCGAACAAATCGATATGATTGTTAATAATGCTGCTTATGCTAAATGTACACCATTGGGTGAAATAACCGAACAAGAATGTGATGATCATTATTCATTAAATGTTAAAGCTATTATTAATGTAACACAATGTGTAACAAATGGAATGAAACAAAAACGTTCCGGTTCGATTGTTAATGTATCCAGTTTAGCCGGTTTAGTTGGCCTAAAAGATCATTTAGTTTATGGTTCAACAAAAGCAGCTGTTGATTTGATGACAAAAATTATGGCATTAGAACTTGGACCATATAATATACGTGTAAATTCAATTAATCCAGGTGTAACAAACACAGAAATGGCTAAAGTTGGTTGGAGTGATCCTGAACGACGTGATTGGATGTTATCACAATGTCCATTGGGTCGATTTAATGAACCTGATGAAGTAGCTAAAGCTATTCTTTTCTTATTAAGCAAACAATCTGAACCAATCAATGGTATTAATCTGCCAATTGATGGTGGAATTTGTACAACTAAAATGTGAAAACAAAATGTGAAAACAAAATGTTTTTGCTTTGTTTCAATCAAATTTAATTCTTGTGAAAGAAAAAAACAGAATTTTTTTCTCTCTTTAAACAATAAAAAATTAATCGATCAAAATTGTTTGATTTATTGATTGGCCAGCCAATCCATTCATTTGTTGTAATTTATTAATTCGTTTGTCATTCAAAGTTTGTCATTGTGTTTTTGTTGTTTGTTGTTTGTTTGTTGTTTTGTTTTTTCAATTTGAATTTGGATTACGGCTACCATCGGCAATTTCACCACCAACACCACCACCAACATCATCATCATCATCATCATCCGGTAGACGTTCAATAAATTCACCAAAAATATTAACATATTTTTGTAATGTTGCATTCATCATTGGATCTAATGTTGATAATTTATTATAATTATAATTTTTCTTTCCACTACATGCTTTTGATTTACGGCCAAATATTTTCTTTTCACAAAGTGATGATACCAATCCTAGAAAAAAATTATGAAATTTTTATTGTTGTTGTTGTTGTTGCATTGATTAAACACAAAAAGAAAAAAAACATACCTCCCGATGCTTGATTAATCAAATCTTGAATAGCTTTTGTTGCATCCGGTCCACATTGTCGTTGTATTAATGAATCAATACAATATTGCCATTCATTAAATGCACAACAACCATATTGTACAGTATTTTCCATTGAATCTAATGAAAATTGTTGTGAAAGAAAATAACTTTGAAACATTGATTGACATTGTTCTTGACCATTATTATGTGATAATGCATGTTTGATACATTTGGAATGTTGAAGATATTCTATTTATGATAATGGTGAATGAAGTAAAAAGCAAAAAACATTTAATAATTGAAAAAGATATTGATAGATTGAATCAACTTACTGTTACGAATCTTGCTATCACTAGCACACATATTAGTCCATGAATTAAGAAAAACATCAGTATTTGGATTCAATGTTGATGATGATGGATTACAACGGAAATAATTTGAATTAATACAATTAATAAAACGAATGACAACCTGACACATTCCATCAAATTCTTTTGATAATTGATCTTTATCTTTATCGGTTTGATTATTGTTGTTTGAACCAATTACTAACATACTTTGTTCACCATCTTGATTAGCTTGAATCAAACAATATTCGACAAAACCACCTTGACAGATATTATCTTCATTTCCACCACCACCACCACCACCAACAATACCAATATTACTTGGTTGATAAACCATTCGATTATTTGATGCTTCAGCAGCTAACATTGCTAATTGTTCTTGTTGTTCAATTGATGGATATGATGATGATGATGATGGTAGATTACGAATACCCCATGGTTGTTGTTGTTGTTGTCGCGGTTGTTGATCACCACCACCAACATAATCTGATCGAACATTCATCATTTCTAATGATGATACTGGTACCATACGAAAATTTGGATAATACATTGAATAAACCATGTTTACATTTACAATCATCATAAACAATCCTAAAAAAAATCATATAAAATGATTATAATAATAATCGATTACAAAGTGAATTGATTATAATGAATAAAATATTGTAACAAAAAAATAAAAATTACAAACCAATCATGATGGACAGCATTTTGTTGATACTGTTTTGTGCCATAATTATTAAGTAGGTAAATAATAATAACGAAAAGGTAAGAATCTTCAAGCAAAAGATTCACACAAAATATGAAAAATGTTGATCTTTTTTTTTGCTTTGCTCAAATAGTGTGTGTTCAAATCAAATTGAACGACAATTGTCGAATGATTTACTAAATTATAAATTCACAGTGGTTTTGATTTGTCAAATGAAATGAAAAATGAAAAATGAAAAAATGAAAAACAACCAAACAAGCAAGAAAACAAGAAAAATAATCGTGGTTTTAATTCGCGGTAAACAACAACAACAACATTATCATTAAAATATGAAAAAGAAAATTTATTAAAAATTTTTTTTAAAGAAGAAAAAAAATGAGAGTCCCTTGTGTAATGTGTGTGATATAACTACTTTGAATAAATCCAATCGAATACCCGGTGTATAACCGAATTTTTTTTTGTTTTTTGGACACAGGTGACACAAGAGAAATACCGATCAACAAAAAGAGATCAAAGTGAAAGCTGTGACATATATTTTTTTGTTTGCCATCGAAAAGAAAGAAATTCTCTTATACTTTACTCACAGAAAAACAAAAATGAAAAGAGAAACTGTCTTATTCGGGAATTACAAATGATAATGATGATGATGATTATGGCGAGAGAACACCTGTAACAGGTCTTTGTTCTGTTTTTCGAATACAAAATATTCATTGAAGCGGAAATATCTCTCTCACTGTGTTTGTGTTTATGGGTGACAAACCAAGACAAAGAGTTCTTCGTTCTTGTTTGTTGTCACATTGATTGATTGATTGATTGATTTTGATTGATAAAAATCAATCAAAATTTTAATGATTTTAATTAAGAAAAAATTGATGATGATGGTGCGAACAAAGAAAAACAATTGATTTGAATAGAATATTTTTCCTTTAAGATTCTGTGATTCACCAATGATGATGATCAAGTTTTTGATTTATTCAAAATTATAATGATGATTATGGAATGTAGTTATTATCCCAGCACATGTTGAATTCAAACAATCAATTTCCTATGATTGTGTTTTACATGGAGTTTTTGTGTGTGTGTGTGTGTGCGATTCAAAAAGTTTCGGTCAAAAGTTCAATCGATTCATTCATTCATTTCATTTCATTTGTTTCAAACAACAAAAAAATTTCAATTTTCGTTGTTTTGTTTTTTTTCTCATTTCCAGGGTGAAAGTGACAAAGTTCAACAAATGTATTATGATTATGGTAAATAGAAGAATAGAAGAAGACGACAAAATATGAAAGAAAAGAAAAACATTATTAGAGTGATGACCTTTTTTGCATTCATTTGGTTTCTCTCTCATTCCATTCCATTCAATGGATCGATCCAAATATTGATCTTGTTTCCCCCCCCAAAAAAATCAAAGTTATTCAGAAAAGAAGAAAAGAATTCAATTGTGTTTGTTTACTCTTTCTCTCACTAATTTTTTCGTTTTTCGTTTTTTCTGTTTCTTTGATTAATCATTATCATTATCATTATTTTATTGCCATTTTTTCGTTTGTTTGTTTCGTCAAAAAAAAACATTCAATCATAATGATCATCATCATTATTCATTCATTCATTCATTCATTCATTCATTCATTCATTCATTCATTGATGATCATTATTATTGTTACCATCGGTTGTTGTTGTTGTTTTCCATTTTCAAACAACGAACCAAAAAAAACGAAACGAAACGAAACGAAATGAAAATCGTTCTTTTCTCGAAACTTTCCCATTATCAAAATCACCAACAACAGAAAACAACGACGACCAAAAAAAGAAAAATATTGTTGTTGGGCACCAAAAACAAACAGATAATAATTGCCAACAACAACAACAAGTGTTCCATGTTTCTTTCGTTTGTTTGTTTGTCAATTACAATAATTATATGATGATTATAATGATGATGATGATTGCGTGCAAACCTTTTTTTTGGAAAAAAAGAGAATCAACAAACTTTCAAACACGAATTATTTATATTCATAAAAAAGATTGTATGAATGCATGGATTCACCTCGATGATCTTTGATCTCTCTTTCTTGAAATGTGTTTTGATTTGGTTTGATCGTCGCTTGGTTGGTTGTTTGTTTGTTGTTGTTGTTCTCATTGGTCCATGATAACACTGGATTTTTGTTGTTTGTTGCCTGATTGTTGTTGATGATATGAGACAGGTTGTTGGATGATGTCAACAACAACATTTAGCAAGCATTGCAATCTATTGATTGATTGATTGATTGTGTTTCAGTTTTAATTTGATAATAAGATGATAAAATCGATTTTTAATTTTTTTGAATCAAAAGGCCACCAATCGAAAATAATTATCACTTATTATTGGTTCATTTAGGTTCATTCACACACACACAAATCAAAAATCAAAAAACAAAAACAGAAATCCAAAAAAGATTCATCATAACTTTACGAATCATTAATTAATTTGTGAATCAATCAAAAACAAACAAACAAAACATTAACTTTAACATTCATCATGTGTGATTGTTTTTCTTTTCTTTTTTCTTTTTCGTTTTTTGTTTGTTTTTGCTTGCGTTTTTCATTAGATAATGATGATTATCGCATAATTATTCAATCGATTTGATTTGATTTGATTGAAAAAAAAACTAGGCCAATCAAATTGAAAAAAATTCAATTTTCATAAAATTCATAAGAGAGAAATATGAATTTGTAATGATGATTTGTTTTTTTTGATATAATTTTTCGTTTTCTTGAAATTATTGATCGTTGGTGTGGAATGAAATGAAAAAGACAAAATTAAATACCCGAAAATTAATACGGAAACGACGACGACGACGTCGATAAGTGACACACACATACACACACACACAATATATCTGGAGAAAATCTGATAACCATGTTATATCATGTGTGTCATTGACCATTGATGGTCAATGAACAACAAGAACAGATTGGTGGTCACACCATACACATTTCAACATTATTGTTTTGAAACTTATCCCGGAAATTATTAAACATTAATTTTTTTTATCGGGTAATTCTTTTCATTGGAACCAGCAATCAATTCGGTCAATCAAACGAGGGGGGAAAAAGCGAATGAAAGGAAGGGAAAAGAAACGGAAATTGCCAATCTGTGATTTTGGTGTTTTAATTAATTTGAAAATGATCCGTTTTTTGGTTTGCTGTTTGCTGCTGTTTATAAATCAAATTTTATTTCATTCTCTTTGATAATATAATGCATCTCTCTCTCTCTCTCTCTCTTTCTTCTTTTACAAAAAATTTGTTGTTTTCAAAGATTCATCATCATGGTCTTTATCGTTATCGTCGCCAACATCATCATCATTATCGTTGTCATTATCATCGTTATGTGCGGCGATTTTTAAACATTTAAATTGTTCATTTAATTTATCAAAAATACTATCAATAATCGTATTGATTATTGTTTTTCCACCAGTTCCAGTACCAGTACCAGTACCATTAGTTATATTGAAATTTTTTTCCATATTTTTACAACCATTCAATATAGAATCTAAACGATTTTTAAAATTATTCAAACAAATCCATGCTTTACATTCAACACTATTTGGTAATGATGAACTATTTTGTGGTTGTCTTTCCGAAAAACGAATATAATCAGCCAATGATTCAAACCAATAATTAAGATTTTCCAGCCTAGTTTTTTTTTTGGTGAAATTAAAAACAAAATTAATCGATTAATGAATAAAACAGAAAAAAAAATCTTACAATTTATCATCATCATTTTGATTGATAGCCGAATCATCAAATGTCCCAGGTAAAAATGAATCAACCAATAAACAAAGTTGTAATTTTTCACCATAATCCAATAATTTATCACAAATTTTAACAATATTTGTAAATAATAATAATGCACGGCTAACAATTGGATTCGGTATTATGGAAAGATTTGCCAATTTTCTAGCCATTTCTTTTGCTTTATCCAATAATATTAGATCCTGATGTAATGGTATAATTTGACTAATTTGTCTTAAATGATCTAAACATTTTTTATATTCATCAATATTTGATTGAAAATCTGGATATTTTTTAAAACAAAGTATACATTGTCCAGACAATTGTGGTTCATTATTTAATGGTACTTCAAATGGAACAGGACCATCATTACAATGTATACAGCTTAATGCATAACCATTACGTGCATCGGTTAAACAAGCTTGACAACGACATGCAAAAAAATAATGATTTAAACGTTCTTGTCGTCGATCATAATGCATTTCTTTATTCGGACCATATGTAATAGTAATTTCTTCATCTTTTTTTATTGGACGATTTGTTGTAAAAATAATTTGTCCATTTTTAAATTCCCAATTTGTATTCGGTACACAACTATGATTAACTAATGAACCAACTAAACATTGACAATTAGCAATATGACCACGTAATGTCCAATCATCATAATATTCATGCCAACCAAAAACATTGAATATAATACGTCGAATATCGACAATAATTGTATCCATAAAATTAAACATAAATTCTTTATTCTTTTCCAATGACATATTATGTACAATATCCAATATAATTGCCGTTTCAACACCGAATACAATATGATGTACATTTGCCCATGTTGAATGTTTTGAATTATGATCCCATAATATTGATGACATTTTATATGCACGTATTTTTTCATCCATTGTTTTATCTTTTTCCGGTACTAAACGTTGATTAATTTCTTTTAAATAATCATCAATAGAATAATCTTTTAGTTCATCATTATTTTCAGTTTGATAGGCAATAATTGGTGTTAAACGTGACATCATACGAAATACATGTACAGAAGCTGATGTTAATGCTTTTAATATTGATAATATACCACATTCATGACGATGATATTGTTGATATGATTGTTCAAAACATGTATGATCACAGAATACTACTTCAGTACAATATAAACAAGGAAAAAATTTATATGATAATTCATGATAACAATTTGAACATTTTTTATGTAAATAATCTTGTTCAATTACAATTGAATATGGTTTCTCTTCCAATATTATTCGACGTTCAGGTATATCCGTAAGTGCAACAAAATGACGTCCAACAACAGGTGATTGTTGTATCATAACACGTTCATCTAAACGATAGCTAAAAAAATCACTATCATTTTTACTACCACCACCATTATCATCATCATTTTTATCTTCATTTTCATTTTTTTGGTTTTTACTGTTAATGTCATTATTATTTTTACCAAATTGTTGAATATTTTTTTTCATTTTTAATAATTCTTCAGTGGATACTGTATTCGAATTATCATTATCGTTGTTGTTGTTGTTGGATTCAGGTGATTCGACCATTCGATTCAACATTCGATCAATCGATTCCATTGCTTCAACATAACGTGATAATAATTTTAAACAATTTACTTCCAATATTGAATAATTGAAAATAATTGATGATGGTATTGAATTATTACCATATTTTTCAAATAAATCTAATGCAATACGAATTGAATAAAGTGCTGCTTCATTTTCATCCAATTGTAAATGTACTTGACATTTACGTGCAAAAAGACGTGCAGCCATTTTTATATCTTCCAATATTGGCATATATAATATTGCACGTGTATAATATTTTAATGCACGACTTAGATTTTTGGAACGATCATCCAAATTACCCAATGAAACTTGTTGTAGATAAAAATCGGCTTCAATTTTACAATTTTTTGCCATAATTAAATTTTTACCATTCTTTTGTCGTGTATTATCGATGGTTGATTTGATAACCGATTTAGCTTGATCAAAATCAATAACATTTGTCAATAAATATTCAATACGTGCTTTATTTGTTTTTAATTCATTATAAGCATTACATTTATATAATTTTTCCATAATTTCATTACGAGTATTTGTTTGCATATTCGATATCTTTTCTTTTCTTTTCTTTTTCTTTCTTTTTGGAATTAATCAGGCAAATTGATTGGAAAAGATCCTTCAAGTTTTTTTTAAAAATAAAATAAAATAAATAAAATAAAAATAAAAAAATAAAAAAAATAAATCACAATTAAACCATAAACGTTCGATTTGAATCATTTTAAATTGTAATTTGGTTTCATTTTTTTAATGTTTAAAGAATTTGAATTAAACAAAACAACGAAAATAAAATTATCGAAAAATTAAATCATTCGACATTGTTGTTTTGAATGGTCGACACTAGATGTCGACGGCTGAGTCGAATTGAAATAGTTCCGGAAATTGTGTTTTTCGAATGTAAACAATTCGCGAATCGTTAAATAATGTTCGCGAATGTTGACGATGGAAATTGACGATAATGGTTATTTGATGATAATTTTTTTGTGATTGAAACCGATTAATGAAATCACTAAAAAAAGTTAATTAAACATCATCATTATAAACGCGTTTTTTTTAATCTTTGAACTACAACTATCATAAAGTTGATGTTCGAAATCCAAATCCAAATCAAAACATTTTGGTTTGTTATGACAACAACGACCACCACAACAACGTTTGTATAATAACAAAGTTTTATAACAAATCAAGAATCAAGACAAATTATATTTGGGTAATTGTTTTTTTTTCATTCATTATTCAAAAAAACAATGATTTTTACCTTTTCAGCATAGGAGATTAATGAAAATATGGAAACAAACAGCGTTTTTATAAAATGGTGTTACAGTCAATTATCAATTATGATATTAACTGATAAATAATGAATACATTTTATTATCTTCAAAACAACAACAAAAAAAATCCAACAAAACAAAAATCAAAAACATAAGTGTTCATCTTCATAATAATAATAATGTTAATAGGTTTTTTTCAATTTTTTTTCAGGCCATAATCAATTTCACGACAAGACGTCTGTGCGAAACGGAAAAAAAACAAGTTTTTTTTCATCGATTATGGTTAAATAAATTGTGATAATAAATTTTGAAGAAAAAAAATATGAAAACATTGCACCCATTGGAACAAAGAATTGTTTAGAAAATTGCCTAACTTTTTGGGCCAAATTATGTTTTTATAATGAGCAAAATTTTCAACTAAAATCATTCACCGAAAATGATGATGAAGAAAACTGCAGGAGATGTGCAAGATCAAACCTAATCTAATCTCAAACACAAAAGATTCGTTTGTTCTTTTGAAGAATCAATCTTGTTTGGTCGGATCTAAATGTTGACATTTTTTTTCCTGGAAGACAACCAAAAAAGAAACGATGCTAGTTGTTTTTCTGGTATGATTTACAATGTTAATTTTTCCATTTTTAATGATTATTAACCTTGAACTTTTTTTTCTAATTGAATAATGCTTTAGGCAAAAATGCATATCAAATACATTGATGGGGTTTCGATTGATTTTTTCAATATGTGTTTCGCAATCATGAATCCTTTTTTTTCATTTGAAAAAATTATTGTTATTATTGTTGCAGGTGTTAATTAACCATAGAAGAAAAGAAAATTTTGATCATTTCAAATGATGCATCACACTGATTGATCATCTCATCATCATCAAGACACAGATGGTTTTTTTTTCGATTTGAATTTTTTTTTCATTCCGACGTCATCATCATCATTGATTCTATATATGTGATTTGTTTTCTTTTACTATTGTTATTGTTGTTGTTGTTTCGTAAAGATTGCCTAATTTCAATGAGTTTGGCGTTCAATTCGTAATTTCTAGCTAATTTTAATGATGATAATGATGATGATGATAAGCCAAAAACGTTTGTTTTTTTTACAGTTTAACGACAGTTTAACTATTAACTATTGTTGTTTTTTTCAAAAGAAAAAAACAGAGACGATTTTTACTTTTTTGTTGGATTTTTTTGATTCGATTTTGATTTGTGATTGAATTCAAGGCTATATAGCCAAACTAAAAACCATTGTTCAATTCAATTTTTGGATTTTTGAATGTCTATTATCATCAATAGACCATCATCATCATTATCATCATCAATGTCTTATTGTTGTTGTTGTTGTTGGTGATATTCCATTATTATTAGCGAAGAGAGAGTATCAAAATTCAACTTCTTCATTTCTTCGTTGTCAATCAAATCAACCAACCAACCAACCAAGCGAACAGCCTTTTTATTATTATCATCATTTTCTTTAAGCAAAAAACGAAATAAGATTTTCATATCATTTTTCCATGAATAAGATGTTTTAAATGAATGATGAAGGTGGTTGGTTGGTTGGTTGGTTGGTGATCATTGTGTGATGGTGGATCATCATTATCATTATGGAAAAAAACATACGTTCCGTATAACAAATGTTTATAATTCGTGCTTTGCGAAATGAAAAAAAGTAGGAAGAGAAAAGACAAAGCAAAACACAAAAAAACAAACGTTTAAGTAATTTTCATCTTTTTCCTCTAAAATTTATTCAGGCTGGAAATTTGAGCCAAGCGAACAACAAAAAATGATGAAAAAATTAAGCAAGCTTTAAATTAAAAAGAAAAAACACCAAAGTGATAGAGAGAAAGGAAATGAAACGAAACGAATCCAAATGATAATGATGATCATCTTCTTGTTGTTCGGTGAACAGAAAAAATAAATGAATTTTTTATTCAAATTTCTTTTTGAAGAAAATTGAATATTTTTTTTTTCTATTCGCGATGCTACTTTGTGTTTGTTTTTTTTAATAATCAATTTGATTCATTCAATTCTTATTACCTGAGTTGAAATTTGAGCCTTACTATGAAAACAAATTACCTGGACTAATTATTCGGTTTTTTTTTCTAAAAAGTAATTGGTTGGTATGCTAATTGTGAAATTTTAAAAACAAAAAATAAAAATGTCGATTCTTTCCTTTCTTTCTTTCGTCTGATTCACAGACATCACAAAGTTTTTTCTCTTTTGTTTTGTTTTGCCTGGATTCAATCGAAGATGACCTTTTTTGGATTTCTCAATTTGTCAATTTTATTTGATTTTTTCTGTCGATTTTTTTTGATTGATTGATCGATGAACTTGTACTTGAACCTGAACATTACAATATTACATCATTTGATTTTCAAAATGTTTTTTTTTGTTTTGTTTTGTTTTCCTAGTTACATAATGAATAGTCAATATTCTTCGATGATTTATCATATTTTGATCGATCAGCAATGACCTTTTTTGTTTTGTTTTGTTTTTGTTTCCTATATATGAAATTGTCATGTTTTTTTTCCACCGAGAAACATTCGTTGTTTTCAATGATGATTTATATTTTCCGACAAAAAATCTAATCATTTTTCTTTTGTGTACAGGAAAAAACGAAAAGCTAAACAAACATTTTTTTGTTTAGTCTGTTTTTCAGTTCACATAATCCTGATTATCATCATGGTGGTGATGATGATAAAAGATGGCGAAAAAAAACTAGCCGCATTTATTTTTACATCCGCAAATCATCGCTTTTCATTCATTCATTCAGTTTACCCTTCAAAGTGTGAGAAAAAAAAACATCCACATCACATCAAGATTTTCAAAAGTAAAAGACAAATGTTGTTGTTTAGGCAAACTTCATTCATGCACACAACTAATTACCCTTCTCTCGAGGTCATTACATTTTTTTTCTCTTTGAAAATTGAGAATTTGAAATAGGAAAAAAATGTCAAAAAGAAAAACTTGTTTATGACATTGCCTAAAACAACAAACACAACACAGAGTTTACCTGTCAATTGATGGAAAATGTCCTTGAAAAAATATTTATTTCCAGCCATAATTTTTTTGCCGTTGTTGTTGTTGTTGTTATTGTTTTTATTCGTTCAATTTTCAATGGTCATTATTTAATGGTCATTTAGGAAATAAAATCCTTCTCTCTCTCTCTCTTTCCTGTTTTTTTCCTGTTGAATGATCCATGTGTGCGTTTCTTTTGTTTTATCATTTGAGGAAATTGTCTCGTTGTTTTTTACAAACACACAACAACAACCAAACAACGACAAACAATCACATAACACAGGTGAAGTGATTTATGGGCTAATACTACATGAATGGATATTTAAGGAATTCGCTTGTTTGAAGTCAAAAAAAGAAAAGAATGACATAAGAAAAGGAGATTATATAAAAGATCACAATAAAGAAGAATGTAGTGCAAACATCGACAAACAGCAAAAAAATTGAATGAATGAATGAATCGAAAATCCATATTATTATTTGTCTTCCTACACACAAAAATCACAACAACAAAAAAAGATTTACTTTTCCATATAAAACGCTGTGATGATATGATATAGATGTTGTTGTTGTTGACGATGATGATGATGATGATGTTATCAGATTGGATGCAAAAACAAAAAAATTCTTAGTTTCCATTTTTGAATATGATTATTTTGATGATTATATAATCCATCGGTATTTTTTAAGTTATTTATTGCTGATTGACCTTAGTGTTAGTCTTGGGTTTTGACCTTTATGCTTGTTTGTTTGATATGAATGAATAATGAAAAATGGAATATATTTTGATTCAAAAGGTTTTTGAACTTTTAAAGCAAAAAAAACGTTTCTTCTTTATCCAAAAAAACCCGTAAAGATCCAAACAAACAAACAAATGTAATGTTCATTTTTTTATGATTTTTTTTAAAGAAATTTTTCAAGGATCCCTTTTTTTTATCAGGTGAATGAATACAAGTGAATCAATGTTGCGCAAACAATTTCAAAACGATCAAAAATATATTATGATTTGCATTGATGTTTTTGCAAAATTTGTCAACAATAAATCTTTGACTTGTGATTGTCAAAATCATCATCATCATCATTAAAAATTGTACAGGTGACAAATGACAATATCCTTTTTCGTAAAATTATTTTGATGTTATTTTCTTTCTTTCTAATTCATTTTTGATGATGATTTTTTTATTCATTTGAATGACGTTCGTTTTTTCTTTATTGTTCAAAATCCAAAATGGTTACAAACGCCAATAAACACCTGAAACATAAAAATGATGATGAAAAAGTATACTGAATATTCATTCAATAGGTCAACCTTGTTGTTGTTGTTGTCAATCATTATCACTTTTTTTTGTTGTTGCTGTATTCAATTTGATGATAATCATATATGAACTGTACTGGAGCAAAAAAACAAGAAATCCTGAACCAGTTTTCTTGTTGTTGTTGTTTCATTTGTTGTTTTTGGTGTTTGAATTCAAAATTTTCTTCAAAAAAGTTTTTCAAAGTTGTTTTTTGTTGTTTGTTGTTGACACAATTTCCTTCTATTTCGATGTCACACACCATTTGTGTGAAAATAGTTTGACAAATTAGATTAGCTCTTTGAACTTTTTTGGATTTTTTTCCGTTTTTTTTAAAGAAAAAATCGTGCCCAAATCCTTTTTTTTCTTCAATTTTATTTATGTGTTTTTCGTTGATTATCGTTGCACACACAAATTTACGATCGTTTACGATGTTCATTGAAACATGCATGTAGTAAAAAGGAAACTTGATTGCCATTTTGGGTTTTCGTTGTTGTTGTTGTTGTCGTGATCAATTATCATTCCTGACTTTATTCTTACGCGTAATTCTCTGTATAAAAAAAACACATTGTATCCGATTTATTTGGTGGAAAATAAGAAGGAGAAATGTTTTATAATGAAAAACGATTAATGTTTTTCTTTCGTCGTTACTTTGAATCGTTTTGAATTGAACTCGACTTAATCCAATGTAAACAAAGTAAAAACAAAGCAAAGAGAAAAGAATGCTTTAAGACAAGTGAAAAATTCATTCAACCATTACGTTCGAATTCGTTTAATGATGTCAAATAACTAACTTATTTTCATTGAATATAATTGAAAGTGAACGAAAGAATTGACTCAAGAGAGAGAATTTTCGAGTTCAAAGTTCCAATAAGAGATTCCAATTGTAATGATTATTATTATGGAACACATACTCATTGTTTGCTTGGCTCCCGGTTTAGTAATCGAATTCAATGAATTCACGTAATTGAAGCACATATTTTCTTTTTCTTTTTTTTTAAATTCTGTAAATAATTTCTGGATTGAAATAAATCGATTTATTTTTGATCATTTTCAATTCAATTCTTGCATTCTTCTTGCAAATAAATCGATTCTGTTGTTCTTCACTGGAATAAACAAATTTCAAAACTTTTTTATGAAAAGTTTTCATCAGCAAAAAATACTGAACAAACAAACAAACAAACAAACAAACGAATAACGAGGACATTAACTTTATTCAGAAAAAAAAAGTTTAATTTAAAAAACAGAGAAAAAATATTCGGAAAAAATTCCTATGTGTTTACTAAACAAGCAAACAGTTATCACATCATCATTATTGGTGCAATAAAAAAAAAGAGTGGACAATAAAAAATAGGTATTCCAAAAGAAGTTTATTGGCAAAAATTCTTTGAATTTGCCTGGTCAGTTGCCTGGTTGACCATTGACTTATCAATTGACTTATCTATCTTTTTTGATCTTTTTTGGAAAATTTCAAATCAAAATAATAAACTAGATTTTTCTGGTTTCGTTTTCTTGAGCCTGGATTTCATTGATTATTTTACCTTTTTTTTTGTTGTTGATTTGATTTGTCCCATTTTATATGTATTGCGTAGGCGATCGAAACAAGAACAACAAAACGAAAAACCAAACAAAAAAACAATGAAACAAATCTTGAAATGAAATGAAAAAACCCATTAAATTTTTCTTATTATAAAAGTTTCATCTATTAAATCATCTTATTTTTCCCAATATTGAACTTTTTCCTATTTTTTCTTCTTCTTTACTTTTTATCACATGATTTTCTTATCTCGAAAAAAAAAATTTCTATTATAAAACATTCGAAGAAGGAAGAAGATAAACATTTGTTGAAGAAAAACAACAACAACAACGAAAAAACTCGACCAAACCCTTAAGAGTGATCTGGGGTTTATATATCACATATATTCGTATTTTTGTGATGATGATGAAAGCAATAATTATACTTTTAAACTTTTTTTTCCAATTGGAACAATATTGATTTGTCTAAACTCTTTTTTTCTTTGGATTTTAAAACAAATACGAAAAAAAACGTCCCACATTCACCTATTTCATAAGGATGTTCAAAAGAGAAAAAAATCAAATAACATCTTAATCATTGTAATTTAATCGAATTGAATGATGGTGTGAAATGCAAATCACACACACACAAGCACACCTTGTTTGTTTGTTTGTTTCATTGATCGATTCAAACAAAAATGATAATTAACATATCATTACTATATGAAGGCAATATACACACACACAGGTATAACACACACAGGTCTATCCTCAAAAAAAATGAAATTGAAAAGACTTTTTTGCTGTGAATTATTATTTTTTATGTAATCAAACAAACAAACAAACAAACAAATTTCGATCGATTGTGACTTATGGCCCCATTTATATTTTGTCTGTGTATTTGATATATGTAAGTGATGAAAGTGGGCGATGATTTTCATTTTCCAAATCTTGAAACCGGGCGATGTCTTTTTTCGTTGTTGTCTGATGAAGTCTTTTTTAGATGTTTTTTGCTTTGCTATTTCCACCATCATCCATATTATATAACGATGTCATCACCACCACTACTTATTGCCTTTGACATTTTGACCTTTTTTTTCTCTTTCCTTTCCTTTCTTTGATTGCCTTCTTCCTTTTCTCATAAGTTTTTTAATATTGGAAAATTTTTTTATGGCTCAAATAGAATCACCCCGAAAGAAAAAAACCCCAAACAAGAATTAGAACGATAGATAGATAGAGAGAGAGGTGTGTTGACATTTCTTTATTTCATTTTTTTCCATTGGTAGCCATATTTGGTCTTTTTTTTTAAATTGAATAAATAAAGCAAAAATCATTGTTTGAAAATTGTTTGGAAAATAAAAAAGGAAAATTTCACATCACATAATCATCATCATCAAGTATTATTGACCGATTTTGTTATCAGATATGGTGGATGTATGTACTTTTCTCAAGTAGTTTTTTTCCAAATTTATATTTTTTCTTATCAATCCCATTCTAACTTCCCATTTCCACCGCATCGTACTTCTTCTTTTTTTTAATGATAATAACCAAACATCACTTAAATCACATATCACATTTCCAAATATCTTTGCTTTGCTGTCCTCCTCCTGTCAAGTGTGATTTGTGTATTTAAATGATAGATTTTCATTTCTGTATACCACCGGTATAAAGGGAAAAAGAGAAAAATTTTAATTGAAAAATTGATTAATTTGATTAATCATCATCATTATCATCAGGTAATCAATCTTTTTTTCAATCATTTCAGTAAGTTGTTGATGGTCAATCAATGTTATCAATCACGTGTTTCATTTGAGTTCAAAGTAGTTTCTTTTTGTTTTTTTTTCCATTTGTGGAATGTTTGTTTGGTCATTGTTTGCTTGACCAAAATTCTTCTTATACTGGTTTGCTTGATGGTGGAAAAAATCATTGATTATGGTCTATTAGGGTGTGTGTGTGTGTGTGTTTCATCTAATTTGAATATCGAAAGAATGGTAGTTTGAAATCTTTCCATAATTTTGTTTGTTGACATGTTTTTTTGTTGTTGTTCACTGATAAAAGAGTTATCAACACCCACCAAATAGAGAGAAGAGAAGAAAATTCAATCCGATAAGTTTCCAATAAACCAAGGAAGGGAATCAACATATACATCATCGAGTTATATCTCGAGTTTCTCCATGGCATATATAGAAATGTAAATGTAAATAAAGTAATCTAGATTAACAAGGAGAAAAAACATACAGCGAAAAAAAACAGATAGAAAAATAATAATTTTCGTTTTCCAGATAAGAAAATTGCTAAAAAAAAGATTTTTTCGATAGTTGAAAGCAAAAATCAACACAACCTTGAAAAAACTTTATACCACACCATACCATATTTGAAGATAATGATAATGATATTTTGACCAGATTGATTCAATAATGATAACCATAATAACCATAATAATGATGATGATGATCCGGTAAGACGGACCGGGTGCAATGTTTCTTCGTAATTTTCATTTTTTTCGTTACTATATGACATGTTGCAACAAACATTTGGAAAAGGAAAAGAAAATATATGTGTCATTTTGAAAAAAGTCAAAAATCCAAAATCTCCATTTTGATTTTGATTATTATTGATGATGATTTCTGGTTGATTTTTTTGGTTGATTTTGCTTGTTGATTTGTTGGTTGGTTTCCAAACAACCAATCTACAGAAAAATTTACATTGAAAAAAAAAGGTCAATTACATTGAATTTTTGTACAATTTTTGTTTCCACTGTATTTTTCTCTCTCTCTCTCTCCATTAAATAATATGATGATACTGATCATCTGATCATCGTTTTTTGGTTGGTTGATATATCCTCCGGATGAACTTAATTTTTTTCCTCTCATCCATATCTTTTAACATTGACAATTTTTTTTCCATATTATCCAGTTGATTGAATATTGAATGTCATTAACATTATTTTTTTATTCAATGCTTTTTTCTTCTCTAAAAATTTTCTGTACATTTCAAAAATATTTTATGTAACCAGCATAAGGGAAAAAAAGAAACCAAACAAAAAATCATGATGGTCAGATGTGGTGGTCATTTCAATTGTTTTACAATTGAAAAGATCAATGAAAAAAATAGGCTGCATACCTTTATCATTGTTAATTAGTAATCGATACGGGTGATTTCTGTTCTGTTTTTACTTTGGAAAAAAATGTTATTTAAACAGGGAAAAAACAAAAATAGTTTTGGCTAATAATAATGATAACCACCACCGTTGATTCATAATGAATTTTTTAATTATTGTTATTCTTGTAATCATTTTCTATATTACATTTTCGTTTGAATTATTAAATTATGATCATTATCCATGGACAATATCGGCAAATATGACACAAACAATACGTTTAAATGGTTTTGATGCTGAAACACATACAGTTTTAACCAATGATGGCTATCGTTTACAATTATATCGTATAGTAAATCCATTTACATTATCCAATATAACTGGTTATCCAATTTTATTTTTTAATGGTTTAACTGAATCAGCATATACATTTATTACAATTACAATTGGTTGGCTGGATCGAAATACTGGTATTTATTATGAATTTGATGATAAACAGTTAAAAAATCCAATGAAAATTGATTGTCAATCGATTTTGGATTCGAATAAAAAACCGAATCAATATGCACATAGTATTGCATTTATGTTATCAGCATGTGGATATGATGTTTGGCTAACAAATGTACGTGATAATATTTATGAAGCATCAAATTTACATTATACAATTGATGATCCACAATATTGGAATATTACATTTGATCATTATTCAATTGATGCTATGGCTAATATTGATTATGTATTACGAAAACAACAACAACAACGACAACAAAAACAATATCAATATGAAACAATCGGTGCACTTTGCTATTCATATGGTTGTACAAATCTATTTCAATTAATGATCGTTGAAGAAAAATATAATCAATTAATTCGGCCATTATTTTTACTTGCACCAACTATCTATATACAATCAACACGTTCATTAATATTAATTTTATTAGGATCTTTAGGACAATTAGTTCGTGAAATACCACAATCAACAACTAATGTTGTACCAATTTTACCATATTTAGCTAATCAATTGGAAAAAAATCAATTTTTACGTATAATTTATTTTTTCAGTTTAATTTTATTGAGCGGTTATAATGAACAGGAATTTATACCGGAAAATCAATATCGTATGTTGGCATATTTTCCACAAACAATTTCATTACAAATGTTAACACATATTGAACAAAGATTTAAATCAAATAATCATCTTTATCGTTTTGATTATGGCCCAAAAGAAAATCTAAATGTTTATGGACAAATTAAACCACCATTGTATAATATAAGTAAAATTACTAATCCATATATGATATTATGGTATGGATCATCGGATTTTATTTCCGATACTAACGATGTTGAACAATTACAACAAGATCTTTCAGGTATGGATTCTTTCATTCATTACTTTCATTTTTAATCTGAAATTTTAATTAATTTTCTCCCATTTTTGAACACAGTAAAATTATTTCAAACATTTTATACGGATTATGCACATTTGGATTTTAAAAATGGTCGTACAGTAAACAGAACAGTTGTCCAACCGATTATCGAAATACTTTTTAATCTTGGTTTTCATTATAGAAAATTTGATTAAGAAATCGCTGATGATAATGATAATTTTTCGCTTAATAAATCAAATTCATTTTCATTGAAAAATTTTTTGAAGTTTTCTTTGGAGTTCCGTAACCTTCGGTTTTTTTTGTTTCCAAAAAACAGAATTATTGTACAATTTCGATTTGTTTTTTTTCTTTGTTCAAATTTCTTCACATTCCAGAATATTCGTGACTTGTGATTTTCGCTTTGACATTGAGTTTTCATTGCGGGTTTTTTTTTGTAATTCTTCATTCATCATCACATGATCAAATATCGATAGTATCGATTTTTAATTATGGCAAAGAATTAGTTAATGGTGACAAACGAAAAAAAAAAGTTTCTGGTCTTTTTTCCCCGAAATCGGAATGTTCTTTTGCCACCATTTTTTTCGATGTAATTGAAATCCAATTTTGTAAATTGAAACTACATTCAATTGTGAAACTACATTCAATTGTGTTTCTCAGACACTAAATTATTGTACATTTTCGATTTTTTTCTTCTTCACATTTCTACATTCTTGACAATTATTCATTAGACTCTTTCTTTCATTTTTTCTTAATTGTTATTTCCATCCATCCATCCATCCATATAAATGATTAATATCGATTTTTGATTTTTAATAGTTTTTCAAAGATGATGATGATGATGATGGAATAAAGTTTGTTTCTTTTCTATTCCCGAATCGATTTGTTCTTCTTCGCTTCTTTCTCCATTTCATCATTAATTAAAATCTTTTTTTAACCAAAATTCTGTTGGTAACGAAAAAATAATAAAACCCGTTTTCAATCAATTTTTTTTTTGATATGTTGCAATTCTACATTCGGAAAAAATATCTGATTCTTTAATGAAAACCACCTGACAATTTCTTGTCATTTGAATTCTTTATTTCTTTGTGTAAAAATCACTAATTGTAAAAAAAATCATTGTAATTTTTTTCAATAACAACAGCAACCATAAATAATTTTTAATTCAAAATGCATTTAGATCGTATATTACGTATTATAAATTATCCATTGATTGAAATGTTATTAAAAGATAATAATAATAATATTGGTTATATTGATAAAATGAAAAAATCTGAATTGAAAAAATTAAAATACAATGATGATAATGATGATGATGGTGATGGTAATGATACCAATAATAATAATATTCAACAAAAACAACAACATTATCGACGATTTCAAAATGTACAATTCTTATTACAAACATTTATATTCATATTCTGGTTTATACGTGGTTTTATTGTTTTATTTCTTGATGATTGTTCAATAACAGCCACAATATTAGGATCAATATTTAATTTACTTAAAATTGTTCGTATNTTCAAAAAATTTTCAAAGTTTTCTTTTGAGTTCCGTAACCTTCGGTTTTTGTTTCCAAAAAACAGAATTATTGTACAATTTCGATTTGTTTTTTTCTTTGTTCAAATTTCTTCACATTCCAGAATATTCGTGACTTGTGATTTTCGTTTTTTGACATTGAGTTTTCATTGCGGGTTTTTTTTTGTAATTCTTCATTCATCATCACATGATCAAATATCGATAGTATCGATTTTTAATTCTTGAAAAGAATTTGTAAATGGCGACAAACAAAAAAAAAGTCTCTGGTCTTTTTTCCCCGAAAACGGAATGTTCTTTTGCCACCATTTTTTTCGACGTAATTAAAATCCAATTTTGTGAATTTTCACTACATTCAATTGTTTGTAACAAATAACTTTAACTTCTGCGTAAAATTTTTATCGAAATCTTGGTTAAAAGTTTGATGAAATTATTTTGTTCATTTCTTTCTTTTTTTTTCTTGTTTTAACTAAAAAACAACAACAGCGAAAAAAATCCATTCAAAATGCATTTAGATCGTATATTACGTATTATAAATTATCCATTAATTAAAATGTTATTAAATGATAACGATGATAATATTGGCTATATTGATAAGATGAAAAAATCTGAATTGAAAAAATTAAAATATAATGATGATAATGATGATGATGATGGTAATGATACTAATAATAAACAACAGCAGCAACAACAACAACGACATTATCAAAGATTTCGAAATGTACAATTCTTATTACAAACATTTATATTTATATTCTGGTTTATACGTGGTTTTACTGTTTTATTTCTTGATGATGGTTCAATAACAGCCACAATATTAGGATCAATATTTAATTTACTTAAAATTGTTCGTATATATCCAGAATTGGTTGCATTTCATTTTGCAATCAAAGATTTTCTATGTCATTTTATTATCTTTGGTAATTATAAACGTTATCGTTTTTATCAATATATTATTGCATATTGTCATCAGATTTATAATCCACATTTAAATGATGAACAAAATATTATTTTACTTAGCGAAAGAAAATTATCACCAAAAACAATATTCAATCTTGATCAAAAAGAATTATCAAGAATAATTTTATTTATTAAACAACGTTTTCATGGACATTGTCATATTGTTTTTGGTACATCAATATTGGTTGGCTTAACAGGAAATTTAGTATTTTTTTCGGTCAATCCAATGGATAATCATTTTTATCTTTTTGGTCATTCATATACATTATACAGTATTTATTGTTTATTTTATCCTTGTTTCTGTGCAATATGGTCATATTATGGTTTTATGTGGACAAGTAATTTATTAACATATTTTTGTATTGTTTGTCGTATACTTCAGGCAAAATCATTTAAAAATGAATTACAAATCAAAAATCTTAAGTAAGTTTTTTTAAGCCTTTTATTAACTGTATTTCTGAAAAAAAAGATTAATAATAAATAAATCATTACAGAAGATTTTTAACACATCGATTACGTTCACATTTATCCGATCAATCGGATTTATTTGATGAAATTCGTATGTTAAATGAATTTTGGTGTTCATATTTATCGATTACAATAACTGTTTATATTGTATTAAGTTGTCTATCACTTTATATTATAACATTTACTAATGTATTATTATCGATGAAAATATTTTTCACCGTTATATTTATACAACCTGTTACAATAATATTATTATTAACAATAACATCGGCTAATCTTTGTTTTCAAATATTTCGTTTAAATAAACGTTATTATTCAATACTTGCAATGCGGCAGAATAATTCTGGTGGACGACAAAATTTGCGATTAAAATTTAAGGTAATTACAAATTTGTTTTTAAATTCACAAAGAAAAAGCAATAATAATTCCTTTTGCTTTGTATTTATGCATTCACCCACGCCAATCAGGTAATGTCAACATTAGAATTAATCAATAGTAATACAATAGGATTTACATTGAATAATCAAAAAATAATTGATTATAAAGCAATTGGAATGGTAAGTTTGTTTTTGTGTTTGTAATTTTTCCATTAATTATTTTAAATTATAACCAAAAACAGGTCATTGCAAATACAACAACATTATTCGTTTTGGTTGGACAAAATCTACGAAACAATTAAATTTGGTAATTGGGATGCCGATGAATTTGAAAACCTGGATAAATTTTCCAACACTTTTCCTTTTTTGATTAAATCAAAAAAAAAAATTACAAATTTAATTTAAATGAAACAAAAAATGATAAAAATGAAAAAAAAACATTGACAAACACACAACATTGTTACTTTTTCAATCAGAAATATTGATTTGATTTGATTTCGGTTGATTGATTTTCACTTTTCCACGTTTGATAATCATTTTTCAAAATAATTTCTTCAATTGAACAACAACAAACAAACAAACAATTTCCGTAAAATTGTGAAATTGAATTGTGTTTGGTTTGGTTTGTTTGTTTGTTTGTCTGTTGTCTTGTTGTGGGTGTGTGAAATTGATCAATCAAAATTTCGATAATCGATCAATCTTGTTTATTTGTTTGTTTGTTTGTTTTTGTGTGATTGCATGCCGTAAAAAACACTGTAAACACTGAAAATCAATTTCAAAAGAAAGTTATCTTTTTTTTCTCTCTGAATCAAAATCATTTACGGAAATGTTTTTTGTTCACTGTGTTCACATCATCCTGATTGGAAATTTAAAAAAAATCAATTTTATTTCAGTGAAATTCATTCATTTTTTCCCATTGTTAATGAAAATTATTATGGCCATTTGAGATTCTCTTGGGGTTTATTGTTTCAGTAAACGGTGGTAACCATTTGTGTGGAGGATCGATCCAAAATTGAAACAAACCAAAAAAAAGCATTTATCATTTCCNAATACAACAACATTATTCATATTGGTTGCACAAAATCTACAAAATAAATAATATTTATCTACAAAATAAATAAATAATGTTGATTATTTTGAATAAAAATTTCTTTTAAACTTTACAATCTTTATATTCGTTTAATATTATTTATATGAATACCATTCATTATTATTAAATAAATTATAGTCATTTTGATTTGACAAAAAAAAAAAAAAAAAAAAAAAAAAAAAAAATTATTTTTTTTTTTAAAAAAAAAAAAAAAAAAAAAAAAAAAAAAAAAAATGAAAGAAAGAATTGAATTACGTAACCTTACGAAAAAAAATTCAGACACTAAAAAAACATTGTACAATTTCGATTTTTCATTTCACCATTTCATTTCTATATTCTCAATATTCTTGACAATTATTCATAAGACTTTTTTTTTATACTTTTTCTTTCTTCATTGTTTTTTTTCCATCTATCCATCCATCCATCCATCCATATAAATGATTGATATCGATTTTTAATTTTTTAATAGTTTTTCAAAGATGATGATAATGATGAAAAAGTTTGTTTTTTTGTTCGAATCGATTTTGTTCATTTTTTTTTTCTCTTTCGTTTTTTTATTATACATTATATGAAAAAAAAATTGTGATTCTTTTTTTTTATAATGAAAACCACCTGACAATTTCTTGTCATTTTAATTTTTTATTTCTTTGTGTAAAAATCACTAATTGTAAAAAAATCATTGTAATTTTCAATAACAACAGCAACAACCACAAATAATTTTTAATTCAAAATGCATTTAGATCGTATATTACGTATTATAAATTAT